AAATCTTCTTCAATTCCTCTAATCCTTTCCAAACAACTTTCTCCAGCCAGAAGTTTGAGGCGTATTCTGACGCATGGGTTTAAGTACCCTGTCACCCTGTAACAAAACCACTCCCACACGCACGCGGGTGTTGTTAGGGTCATCCGATGGTTCCTTGGACTCCCGTCTCAAGCGGTGTCTTATGGCTCGCTATAAAGGAAATGAATTTCAAAAAGCTAGGAATCAAACAACTCGCAAAAGGCCCAAACAATTTTTCCTGTCAAATGTTGCTTGAAATACAATTTCTTTGGGTTCGCCTTGCCTCCGCCGATACTAAATCGCACTCTAGAGATGTAATGTTGAAAAACGTCCACAAAATTCTCATCATAGATATTCTCGTAAAGAGAGACATCTATGTAAAAAGTGTTACAAAGATAAATTCGAAAAGCATTATTTTTAATTGCGAGCTTTCTTTTGATTTCTGTATCATGAAATTCATTTCCCCCTCCATGCAGGTGCAGTTGAATTTGTTTTCTTTCGTAAGATCATGACTTCGTTTTCAAACAACATCAGCAGGTAAATCTAACAATAACCTTCCATATCATTTTAAAGACCTTCATCTCCAGAGGAAACTGACGTCCGCTAAAACAATCAAAATAACGTCCAGGGCCCAGTCGTATGACGGGCGGATAACGCTATCCAATGGATAGGTGATAGTAAAACGTTTTGCGGTATCCACCACCAGATTTAGACGATTTTTCCAATAAATAGCGTTATCCAACCTTCGAACAACCGGGGCCAGATTAATTAAAGGAGCATTGTCTTAATAGTAATAACAATACAGTCTCAGTGCTTTTTCTTTTTGCAAATTACTGGGTAAACCTCAAATTTAGTGAGATTGTAAAAATCAGGAGGGAAAAATTAGATCAAAAGAAAACTAAAACTAGTACGAAGATTACCAAAGTTTTAGAGGTTTTATCATTCATCACGAGCGTGGTACAATGAATATGATTCGATAATTCAAACACCTATCGTCATTTGTCAATTAGGACAGGATCAAAACGACTTTTCAAAAAAATTGAATTTAAACACTCGCTCAACAGACCAAAAACGCTGTAATTTTTTAAGAAGAAAAATTCCGGTAAAGCTAATTTACCCATTCCCTACAACAAGTACTAGAAAAAGGAAAAAAAACAAAGTTTTATCTTACCTTCCCATTTGTCAAGAGATCCACCAGCTTCCTGCAGCGTATCTCAATAATGACAAGCACGATAGAGATCACCACACCACCCAGCAGAATAATAAAAACACCGGCCAAGTTGTTAACGTCAAGGCTCTGCGTGTTGCCAGTTTTGGACTTTGAAGGCGGTGGACACTGGCTCCTATCATCCCACCACCTTCGACGTTTCCTCTCAATAAAGTTCCTCTCCCGCAGCTGCAAATGAAGGGAAGAACCATACGATGTCAACCGCGCATTTAATCGGGGCTTTTCCTCTCCATTACTTAGCCTGAGTAGGATTCCATGTTCAAATACTCTCCGTCTATTTTAATTTTGTTCGTTTTGTTTTTTTCCTCAAACTCAAGAAGGCTTAACGGACCAGTCATCACTTATTAGGGAGGGGGGGGGGGGAAAGAGCTCGTCAACAACAAAGTATAAAGGGAGAAATATAGCAATTGACTGTCAATGACGGGGATCATTACAATACTGCAGAGCCGAAGGAGAATCAGGTAAGTTTAATTGCGAAACGACCGAAAGCCTCGGACACCCCCACCCCTCCCCCCGACAGTAAAAAATCTCTCTCGCTTATTTCATAACACCTACGTTCAAAATTCCAACTGTAATTCTGTTAGTGTATGGCGAGTTTCGCTGAAGTCCAATCCCATAGCTCTTGGTTTGAATCAGATTTTTTAACAGTCTTGTATTGCAAGGTTTCTGTTGGTTGTAGTACTCCAGGTACGGGTATTCCGTTATGTAAGCGTATTGTTCGGTCCTCGCTTTTTCCACTCCAGCTTTGGTCCCATCAACAAAGGTCTTATATTCTCTCATGTGAGAGAACATTTTTCTGTACAGCGAATCCTCTGAATTCTCAAAGAACGTCATCACTGAACCCCCGTTCATAACACCATATTTTATTTTGTTTTGGTTCGCCAAAGCCTCCAACGAATTAATTGTATCAGCAGTACGTTTGACTAAGGAGGAAAATCATTTACATGAACTGTAATGAATTCTTGCTTCAACACTTTACACCCTAACATCATTACTGTGCTCTATACATTTCCTAAAGTGATGATGAGGAGAGTTTGTTTAACAATCAAGAGCTTCATAAGTTGATGATTATTTCTTTTATTCTGTGGCCTTGATGTTTGATTCAAGGGTGACAATGCACAGAAAAATTAAAAGCATGTCACCCCTTAGGGTCAAGCGGTGATTTAACAACTAAACAATGACATGTATACACTGTAAGTGGTCATGACAACCAGTACTTGACATAGTCTTGCATACGGATACTCCGCATCTAAGTTCTAATGACTGAGAGGGTATCCTTTTTATGTACATTGTACCACAGACAAAATTACTGCATCCCTTTACATGCTGTTATCAAGAACGGAAAGGCAAAATAAGCGTCCTGGCTAATAACAGAGAGATGCTTTTAAAACATCCCCTTTGGTGTACTTCTTCCTGCGGAATTCCCCCATAAACACCACAAACTCAAGTAGGTGAGATTTATTTGGAGTTGGCTACGAAAAGTAATACTTACTCGTGAAGAATGCTGCCAGATTTGCCGTATATGTAGATATCAAGATCAAGATAAAGAACCAGAACGTAGAGGCTAACAAACGACCAGAAGGCGCCAGAGGGGTGCTATCTGGACCCTGCTGTAAAACGGAAGCTGTAGCAAACCACAGACTGTTCAAGAGGTTAAACTCATTTCCAGGCTCTTCGTCAGATTCAAGAGCGCGAGCACGGTAACCAAATGGGCTCAAATAGTCCATGACACACATCATTCCAGTGATAAACAAAACCTTAAAAAATAAGGTGGCGGAGAAACGTTTTGCCTCTTACAGATCCCTACTTCACAAAGAGGGCATATCCCCCCACCACCATCCCACCTCAGATCCTGTCTCAAAACACAAAGTGGGAAAGCCGGGTGTGCGAGGGCTGAATATGGTCGTTGTCCGAAGTGACAACTGGGAGTCATTCACTTGCTGAATGTTTTTCAAGTAGTAATGGCCTAGCTCACCGCAGAATCTTTGTAGTTCAGCGGTGGAGCATCGGTGCGTGGAATCCGAAGGTCTGAGATTCGATTCTTGTTAGGGACCGGGGTTTTTCCCTCCGTTGCACGTTCGTGACAATGCGAAAACACATCTACCTCTAAGAACTTCAGACTGTTAGGAATGATGATGGTGGGTTAAATTTCTGATCTCTCTCTCTGTAAATGTCGGCAGCCTCCCACGTGCACTGTATTAATTTTTACCGTAATGATTCGATTCAGCGCTTATTTACCTATGGTACCTCGAGGGAGGGCGCTTAATCGAGACAGGGCACTTATTTCTTTTTTGAGAAACAGCTGAATGTGAAACAAAGCTTTGATGCCAAGCAATTGTCGCAAAATTTTAAAACAGGATCTTTCGTTTAAAAGAACTGTACCCTCACGGCGACATAACAGCAGAGAGACTGAGACAAAGATCACTTTTTTGTTATGGGGCTTAAAGTGAGCAATTAAAGAAAGATGAACCAAGGTTGATCTCAACGAAAATGTACTCTAACGGTGCTATAACTCAAACGGAATAGGAGCACTTATTAGTATAGGAGCACTCATCAACCAAAACAAATTCGATGGGGAAGGCGCATATTAGACAGGGGGCGCTTATTCGAACGAGGGCGCTTACTCAATAGGGAAGCTTATTAGAATAGGAGCGCTTGTTAACAAAAACACATTCTATGGGGGGAGGGGTGCTTATTAGAGAGGGAGCGCTTATAGGAAGGAGGGTGCTATATAGTATCATTACGGTAATTCCCTTTGATCCATAAAGCCCAATCACAAGCCTTATACATGTATGCACAATGTATGCTTCAATAAATCAAGTACGTTCACCTACCACACCAATGGTGGACAGCCACACTTGACCAGTAAATGGTTGGAGAAAAGCAAAGTTGTTGATGGCTGGCTCATTTGCTTTCTGCATAATAAGACTCAAACTGAAGTCCATGAAGGGCTTACTAAAGTCAATGTCCTGCTCGCGTTGGGCAGTTATCGTTATAGGTGCAAGTGCCATATCCTTTTCCTGACAGGAAACATTAAAACAAAAATCCATATATCAAATACAACACCAAGCATTCATCAAATTTCCATACAGGATACACCCAGTACTGTATTTACCAAATTGAACACCACCCACGAATCAGTTGGCCCTTTTGTCACAGTAAATAGTATAATTGTGGATTGTGCAGTTTACATACAGAAAGATGCAGACATGCTATTGGTGGAAACATGGTTACGTGAAAACACAAGAATAAATTAGTTGAATGAAAAGCATTTGTTGATGTTGTAGGGATTAAGTATGCCAATTTGAAAGATAAACTTTTGCCCCACAGTTTTGTAGTTTTCCAAACTTTCTAGATGTTGGAAGAGACCACTGCAGACTACCACATGTTAGCACAAAGAACCATTACTCATTTGCTCTGAGTAAGGGCTAATGCTCAAAAAGTCAGCTTTAGGAACTCTTCACTATGGCCAATTTACATTATCAACTCAGTTTGTAAAACCAAAGTATCTTATGCTACTCATGGATGAGGAGAGGCCATGATAAATGTACAAGACACTGACAATTTCACAACTCAGCCACTAAAATGGATGGAGCCCTTCCAAGTTAAGTCCAGCATACTAGCTAATATAGTCAGACAAAAAATTTAAATGACATGTGTACACTTTTGTGTAACTCTTCACCTGATTTTTCAGTTCCTCAATCATTTTTGCATACTTTCTGTCAGGTCTCAAATAGATATCATAATCAAACTGAGCTTCTTTAGACAGTTCGTCAATCACATCAATGAGGAATCCTTGAAGATCTCCTTTAGAAACTTTTCCAGCTAGATCCACAAGTTTGGAAGATTTATTTACTTTTTCCACAAATGGTGGCTCCTGTAAGGTAAGGTCAAACATTTCATCAGTTTATACCCTATCAGAGCTGTCACATCAAATACTCATCAAATCCTGTGCAGTGCTTTCCATCCAAGAGAATAAGATTTACTAGCAGCAATGGAATATTCATTACTGATTTAATTATCTGAGGAGTTTGGGATGAATTTCACCAAACATTCACTCCTCAGGAGAGCAAAGATCTTGAGGTGTTGGATTTCATGTATTTCATTTGGGCTATTTTCCAATAATCTCTTCAAATACCATTGATAGAAATTGTTGAGAACTACAAGGTGGAATTCTAGACAGCTTTGAAATAATATATGGGTTATGACAGAGACAAATTAACCCTTTTACTCCAAGATCCCATTAGTAGTTCTCCATACTGTCTGTCATAAAATTGTTATTATGTTAGTTCCAAGAATTTGCTATTGGATCAACTACCAGGTAATAATCCTTTAATTTACATCTTTCTTTATTCTTGTCATTTGTTTGCTTGATATTGTACAGAAAAATTCTGTGTTGGTCACTTATAGGAGTTAAAGGGTTAAAAAAAGACAGTTTTAAATAGTCTTAAACATTAAATCGTGCTATAAAATACATAGGTCATAAGTAACTAGGGATATTCTCTTTCAATCACTGATGGTATCTTTCTACAATAAAAATAAATTGCAATTTTTCTATCATGATTATAGTTGGAAACTCTGAAAAATTAATCACATCTAACATGTAACCACAGAAGAATCCAACACCAAGTGTCACTAAATAAGTTCTTCTTCACATTTTCTTCTTTATCCTTGTAAAGCATAAGAGTTAGGAACAACATAGGAACACCCTTCACTCATAAACTGTATCATCCAAATGATAGCCTGTTCACAGCCACCCCCCTTCCACCCTCCAAGAAAAATTTATCTTTTGGAGGGTACATGAAGGTGGCCTCTGTACACAGGCTACAAATGGTTGGGTAGCAAAACATTGTATTCTCACCAGCACTGTGGTAATATTTAGTTTTGGTAGCTTTGGTGTAAGGCCAATGGTTTCAGGATCTGGATTGTGATTATGGCATTTCACAGACTCATAAAAACATCCGATCCACTTAGGCTCTTCACTACTCCCAGGCAAAACATTGTGTTCTTTGTTTCCCAGCTCTGGTTTCCATGAACCAATCTAAAGTATAAGTTAAAATATTAAAATCATAAATGATAAGTAAGTTACATCTCACAAATTCAGCTTGTAATCCTAGTGCTCATGCATCCTCTCAACTCTTTTATTATATCTCCCTGTTAGTATGTGCACTATGATTGATCAATTTAGCTGGCCCTATTTCACTGTGTGGCCAGCTAAATTCATAAGTTTGTTGGAATTTAAATACTCCCCCTCTATTTTAACTGAGAGATATAATAAATATCTTATTAATCTCATTTTAAGGGTCTGTGCAATAAGTTATGCAACCTCCTTCTTTCCATTCTGATCTATGGACAGTGCATTTCATACCTGGGCTATAAATCCAGGGGGGGAAACTTGGTCTGTAACTTAAAGTTCGGACCTCAAACTCAGTTGATTGGGGGTATACAAACGAAAATTAGGTTACATCTCAAAAATCAAGCATATGATCCAGCTGATCATCCTGCCAATTCTTAACCCCCATTCCACAGCAAGAGTACACTAGGTTTTGTTTCTCCCCTTAGATGGTATGCGTGTTTACCAGATCATCCCATCCCTTCATTTTATACTCATACCTACAAAGATACACATTTAAATAAACCACCATGACGAAAAAAAAAACAGGGAAAATAACAGTCCCACAATTCAACAAAATCAATAACTACATGTGCGAAACTTTACCTTCTTTACTTCCTCCCGAAGAATATTCAAAATGTCCATGCCAGTTTTTATTTTCCGTTCCCCAGTACGTTTAAATGCTACAGTTCCTGTGAAGCCCTTAAAACTGACCTGGAAACACAGTCAAAGTCCAATTATTGTTACCAAAAAGTTTAAAAGTACCTAAGAACTAACTTTGTTTCATGTAATTTCGTCTGGCAAAGTTCACGTACCGTAAGCAAGGCGTACTCATAAAATCAACAAATGCTCGAAGCTGAGCTTGTTCAGGCATCCAGTCAATTTGGAGTCTGTACGTTCCTGTGTCCTTTTGTCTCCGGAAACCCGGACAAAAATGCGTCTCTAAATCTGTTTTCATGTAGGTTTGGGTGCTTTAAGGAGACGTTCACAAGCATTTTATGAAATCGTTTGGAAGGTGAAGTCTGAGGTAATGCAAAATTGAACCTTGGTCATTTGTTTCGTTGAACTACAAATATGATTTTCAAACGGTATCTTTGTGTCCCATTTTGATCTTAGCGATGCAAATATTCGGAATCTTTCAGCTCCTTCGCACAGTTAAACCGTAGAGGAAGTCGCCATGTTGGATTAAATTAGTAACCTGGCCTTACCTTCGGAAATTTTATATTGGACTTAACGCTAATTAAGATTTGGGAACAACGGATCGAAGACTACGGAGCGACTCAGCGAGAAAGAATGTACAGTGACAGGAGTCCTGACAGTGATAAAGCAGGGAATTGTTAAGTAACACTCTACCTTTTTGAAATCGTCTAGAATTGCCTGTGCCATTGAATCTTTCTTGCTTCGTAGAGGGCACTTCTGGTTGGGCGAGAATTCAATTGCCATATCTACCCTGGTCTTGTTTGACAAGAATATGTTTAATCCTTTTACTACTACAGAAGCTGCATCATGCACCGCGGAGTACATTTCCTGCGCACAAAAAATAAAGATTATTTGCGATAGGTCATGGAGTCACACAAGCAGACCACAACGGTGTACGACAATAAGTGCGTTCTAAATTTTTTCAACGCTTTCTGCAAATGTCCCACCGAAACATGAATTTTCTAACATCTTCTTTCAATAAAAACAGCCCCTTCCTACACCCCCAAAAAATAAAAATGGATAGATAAATAAAAATATCAAAACCTCGCAAACAAAGTTGAGCAATTTGTTCATTTTGTTTTTTTTCTTACCGATGAGTAGTTGTTTGCTCCACGAGGCACAGTGACTTTATTTTTTGATATATTTTCTAATCTCTTCGCCGCTGTGGTGTTACTGAGATGAAGACTCAGTCCAACCAGACCGCGAATGGAGGGGTAAGTCTTGTTTGGACCTGCCACTTCCTATTGATACCAAATCCAGATTGAATTGATAAAAGACAAAAAGATTAGAGACGTTTCTTCCTCTCAACCACTAATTAATCAGTTAGATATAGAGTTTAAGGAATCAAAATATTCTTCACCACCCTTCAAGACCCTATGAAGAGGTGTTGCCAGTCACATTTGCACATTCTATGTCATAAAAACTGAAAATTCTATAGTCAGGCACCATGTTATTGTTTCACGGTGAGGATGCCTTAACAGTCTGAACGCATTTAATTATTTTACCATCGTAGAGAGTGTATACATCTCTACACCCACGTTCTTTGATCAGTCCTACATTTCAATTTTAACATTGTTTGGCCCTATCAAATGTGGTGCATCCGAGAACGACCAAAGTATGTCTAAAAAGAAGATCTTTTGCAACTTAGGTGTAACTTAATGAGGAGCCAGCTTCCTTACATTACAACTGACAACTTCTTACAGAACTACTGACCTATTCTATTTCCCATAAATTGAGTGATTTAATAATGGGTCTGGCATCTCGAGCTACGTAATCAATGGAGCTTAAAATTCACATTGATTAAAGGGAAAGATACATTAAAAAAGTCAAGACAAGCGTTACCAGATCTGAGGCTATCCACTTCAAGTCTTTGTCATTGATTCCCACAAATAGTGCCTGTTTAAAACGATCAATTCGGTTAGCAATAGACCGCACAAAGAACTAACTACGGCCGCTAAATGTAATTTTGGCTGCAAATGAAATTTTAAAACTTGACCGGGTGATTAGCCTGTAAACAAACTCTTCCCTGATAGCCTATTGCCTCACATAGCGCATTGATCAAAGTAATATTACGTTTTAAGTAATTAACTGAGTTCAGCAATCGCGTTTTCGCATCATCCTTGATAAGTGAGTGCAAATTTTGCTGGTGACGGATGACATTTTATTGCGTTACCTCGTTCATTATGGTTGCCAAGTCCTTCTGATCAGCAAATAGAACGACTTGTTTGATATGTGCCTTCAGTAAGGCTGTGAGAGCCTCTCTCACTTTGTACTGATTGTTTAGAGGAAGCTCTGGCATCATTTCTGCATTATACCTTGGCCACTTGCGAACCTTTGCAAAGAACAAAGACGCCTGCCTCGCTTTGCGAGCTGAAATTAAGTTAAGAAGCTCAAACATGTAAAACAGGCAAAAGTAACGTTGAAGAAACGTTCAGAAACAGTAAAAATTTGATCAGACAAAAATGAGACAACCCTTTTCCCCTTACGACCCCCTAGGAGTGTCTAACATCTAAAATCAGTCCTTGCAATATCACCCCTGAGTCAAACATGAAGGTCAAGGGAATAAAGGGAATGATCACCAACTAAAGAAGCTCTGATTGTTGAACAACTTCTCCTTGTCAACACCTAAAGAATTGTCTGGAGAACAGTATGGAGAATATACATACTGATGTGAGGGAGTAAAGGGTGAACAGATCAACGAACAAAATTCAATTTCGTTCAAACAACTCGATCACCGGCGCCAGAATCACTTAATCATGTGAATGGCAAGTGTCTAGATCAAAGAACAATGACGGCAGCGTTTTTAAAAAGCGCCTTTATGAATAATTTTTTATCCACATTAAAACGCAAAGCCTTTGTTTTTTTGTTTTGTTTTGTTTTTGTTTTTTTATTTATTTTTTATATATCCATCCGCTCTAAAAAACGATTTCAGTCATAACCAATTTTATCCAAATCAGTTTGTATTTTCAATTATTTTCAAGGGGGTGATGAAGGACCAGTCATAATTTATCGGCAGGGGGTGGGTTGGGGTGGAGTTCGGAGGATTCTGTTTGTGTCACCATAAAATTTACCTGATCCTTCCATAAGGTTCTGTAATGTTCTTATGATCCCTCATTGGCACTTAGTTTGCCGTCAATTTTCTAGAGTCTCCCTTTACACATTGGCGACGATTAATGATAAATGACTGTTCTCCTACGAGTACTTATTCTTACCATCATAAACAACGGCTACTTTTGTGAATGAGTAGAACTTTATCATATCAAACAGAGCATCACAGACATCACGATACGACGGTCTCACTGATAACGCGTACTTGTGTGGCGTTTCTTCGTCAATGTTGTCTACTTTAACCAAAGGTCTTTGAAGAAGGGAGCTCAGAGCAAGAACGTTTTCGTTCTTACAATCAAGGTCAATGATAGCGTATACAGAACTTAATTTCCTCGCCACATCTGTGGAAATAAATCATTTTGGCTTCAAGCAATAGTCTTAATTTTGATCAGCTAAAGTTAAGAACGTTCTGAAACTAACAGAAATGTAAGAATACAAACACAATTTTGCTATGAGCAGGCGCTGCCTTGCGTAAGCACTGCCCATAATAAAAAATATTTACCATGGAGCACAACGCCTGCACCAAATATTAGGAAAATTTAGACCACCGGAACTATGGCATGGCTTACCCATAGGGGCACCATTCTTCGCACCTCCCAAAATTGTTTTGGATATGGGGGGGGGGGGGGGGGGGGGGGGGGAAGTTTTATGGTTTTATGGGGAATGCTTAGTGAAACCTTAACTCTGTTTAAAATCATTTGGACTAGATATTCGCCGCTGCCTTGAGATCATTGGGCTCAAAAACCACCAATCCACCCATCAATCATATAGAAAAGAAGGGTACTCCTTCGGAATACATAAACTCTCAAACTTAATTGAAGGGATGAGATAAGGCTGCTTTCCTCAAATTCGGCCCATAAAGATTCTCCTTTACTTATCAAGGGAATCATTAATTATTACCTACCTTGAGAGAGGAGATCTTCACCATCAACGTTCAGTGGCACTAGTTGCAATATGAAAGTCTTTTTTAAGGTAAGCTCCCGTGGCTCGTGTGCCAAAAGGTATTCGAGTAACTTGAAAAGCCTTTCGGAGTTTTTGCTGTATAAGGCACCTGGAGAATAAAAGTGGTTTATTAGTTTTAGGAAGTGTACAGAGGAAGAGTACTTTTAGTTCCAAACCCTTCCCCTTCAATGTGAATGGTTTGATTTTTGGAGTGACAAGTGATTATTAAGCTGCATTATCCAGCTAAGGGATTTCTATGTTCCTCCTTTAAGGTGTCATTTTGAGCAGCTTTTTTTTCTTTTTCATAATTGAGCGCGAAGAAGTTTAAAGAAAGTATGATGTGCTCCATGGGTTGAAAGTGATTGTATGTTATTGTAATACGAAGCATCGTATCATAAACTGAGCGGACGTTTAATTTAGTAGGGTGGAATTTTCATATTTATCTTTGGATTCGTATTTACCCATACAAGTAAAAGACGACACAGCTCATGCTTGTATTAAAGGGGTAAAAAACTCCAGTCTGCCGAGCAGGCGTAATTCTTTCGCGTTTTTCAGTCAAACTGAGGCAAGCACGAGGCGAGCGCGCAATGCGAGTCACGCGCAAGGTGAGGAGCGCAATATTTTTTCGCGCTCCTCCTCTCACGTGTGACGCGCGTTTCGAGCTCACCTAGGGCTTGTCTCCGTTCGCCTGTAAGATGTAAAAACCTCTGAAAAATTACGCCGAATCCGGCTGTAGGCTGAAAAAATTGTGGTGCTGAGTCGGTGGGTGCTATTGCAAGATAATTTGAAATGATCATACTGACGTGGCCACCGCAAAGAGTTGACGTTTTGAGTTCTAGCCCTTTGTCAGAACGAAGGTGTAACATGAATATTTCGTCACTCTGCCGAACGGCTGACTCTCCAAACTTAAGCTTTAGAAACTCTTAACAGTGGACATGCCAGTATTAGCATACGACTTGAATATTTATCTCTGGACTTTGTATTGAATTAGAGAGGCTAAAGACAATGCAATCCACGCCTGATCAAAGACCCCTTTTAACCAAAAATTCAAATCACCTCACTATCATCTTTTACCATCTTTCTCTACTAATTTATTAATCACTTTTTTTCAACAGCGGTGAGGCTTGATTTTCTCAATTCTGAATTAGTCACGGTGATTGATGAGTTCTTCCCAGGAAAGGGAAGAGATTTCTCGCAATTTTTGCTAAAAGTGGAGCGTCTTTTCTCTAGATCGTGACTCTGTTTCACTCCAGAACATTGATATTCACACACGTTTCACTCCTGGCCTTTGAAATCCAAAACTTTTTTGTTACCATATAATTTTTTTTTTTTTGCACATTTCTCTCATCATCTTCATATTCTGAATTTATCACCCGATTTAACTAAAAGAAACGTCGCGGTTGTAAATTTTACTTTGGCTTTGTCAATTGTAAAGTAATTAAGCTTCGCATCAGTTCCACATTTTAGTCTTGCTTAAATTCGCTGGAAAACCCAACTCAAATAAAACATTATCCTCATTCCTCTGTTACTAGTTTTGAGTTGAAAAGAAAAATGCGTCTATAAGCTCTTGTGATGCGCCTGGATACCAAACTAAGTTCAAGAAAACAACAGTTAGAATCCATACCCGTTTTCAGAACAAAACGCCATAATAACTAAACCTTTTGAGGTGATTAGTACTTAAATAGCCATAAAAGTAGAGGAGTGTCTCGCCTCCCCGTTGTGTTATGTTCGTAGCTTAAATTTCCAAAAGACATAAAAAGGATTTAGAAAGAACTCAAACTATTGACTTAAATCAAGATTTTTAAGGTGATCAAAAATGATGCAAATTGAGTAAGCAGCTCTCTGGGCTGTGGGTCCTTTCTCTCCGGTAAGGCCATGGCTTCATAACCGCAAGAGAATCTGCACGAAAATTTCAGCCTATCACTCTTTTCAGCTTTCAGTTTCTCCTGATGATTGATTTCACAAAATAATTTTCTTTAATTACTTTCTTCTCTCTTTTTGATGCTTGGCTCGTAAAAACAGGCAGAGTTATAAATTAAAAAGAAAAAAAAACCACAGCGAATTAGCTTAAACTCTTTACTCCATTAATTCTACGACAAAGAAAAAAAAATCTGAAAAGTGGCATGATAATCAGTCTTCGTAAGCATATTTTTTACTAAGAGGTCACACGCCTTGTTTCTGTTGATCAGTTTTCACTGATCGGCAACTTCGAAATAACTTGAAAGCTCACAACAACAATTAAACGTGAAGTGTAAACACAACAAATATATATTCTTCAAATCCATATTTAAGGTTTATTAATAATGGCGTATTTTAGTGTGATTTACTCCAGTAGCTCTCCCAGATGACTTTGTAATTAAATGTAATCATGAAGAATATGAAATCTACTAATGCTTTTCTTACCTATTTTGATATTCATAGGTGAAACTTGGTTCACCAACACCAGAAGTAGAAAGATGTGAAGAAGCCTTGATCTGACAACTCTGTACATGATGGACCTCCTACGATTTGCAGAATGCCTTAGACTGTAAAATTGGCTGAGCGTTTTAACCTCTTCTATAAAGTGACGTTCAGCGATCTTCACAAAGTCTCCCTTTTCGACTTAAAAAAGGGAACTGAAAGTTTCTTCTGAGAGAGTCAACTAATGATCGGTTCTTTACTGAAGCGAGCTTTTAAAGGTACGGTCTATCAAACGGTGTCTAGAACCATCTGTCTTAAAAGATTAAAATTTTGCGAACGTGTTTGCATAATAAGAAACGCGCTAAATTATGCATGACGAGCAATTTGTTTTATGCTAAATCAGGAAACAACTCTCATCTGCTTCTATAGATCTTCACAGACAATGACGAGCAACGGTATGATTTTTGCGGGCGTTCACCTCACGTACATGCGATGACGAATCAGCTAGACATGAAATGCAAGCTATCGATAGAAATTTGAGTTGAAAAGACAAAAGCGAAGCAACCAAATTAACAGTCAAAACAGAATGCTCAAATCCATTAAGAGATGAAATACAGAAGTCCGAAAGTCATAGGGAAAGTGAACCTTTTGGTGATAACAAATAAAAAAAAATTCGTCGCATGTAAAATACTTGTGAAAGTGATGATTTTAATCACACAAAAATTGATAACAGACAAGCCATCTTAAAATAATCGAAAACTTTAACCACACAACAATAAGTTTAGCGCCCTTCTCTTTTTTCGGGACGAGTCGAGCTTGAAATATCATGACGCAAATTTGGTAAACGACTGAGTCTTATTTCAGATTTCTTATTGAACAATGTCCTGATTTAACTCATTAGTGTCATTAAAAGGATCAGTATTAATCCTTTATTTGCGTGCGATGCTCCCGCAAGTACATCACACGTACGCTTCAGGAAGGCTAAACAAGAACCCTTAACGCGATCTTTTTAAGGTCGAATCCTTCTCCTCCCCTCTCCTACCGCAAACAATGTTGAGTTTTGTGGATTTCAGACAATGGAGACTTAAAATCATGGAACACAACACAATATTACTTAAACCAAATGCTCCCCCATCTCTCCCAAACAACGTTGGTCAAATTTTTTTGGGATAATTAATGCGATTTCATCAAAATCGAATCCTAGTACGCTTACCCTCCTGTTGAGTTTTTTCGCTCTGTAAACTTTTCAAGGGCGTGGTGACACTGCATGAAATGTCAAATATAAGGAGGTGTAATGAAGCATTATACATTGTTGAAGGGGGAGAAGTTTCTCTTTATACAATGAATCAGATGAAAGTGGTCTTTTTAATTAATGTATATAGAGAATTTTGATCGTGCTACAATGAAATTTATTTGATACTGTTCTCGTGAGGTTTTTTAATAGTATTCAGTTTTCTATAGTCCCCCATTTATACTCTGTAAGCGACGACTGATACCCCTCCCCCCCTGTTCTACCAGAAACCATGTGTTCCCCCCCATCCTCAGACACCACCAAATCCCTCCCCCCCCCCCCCCCCCCCCCCCCACGTAGGCGATACACAATAAGCATATCTCGAAACCACTGATCAGTTTGTGTTTATTATATTCATGTTAATTACATTCTCGTAAAAATCATATTCAAACGCTATTTCACACACCTCATTCAACGCTGATTAGACAAAATTGAAATAATAGCACGGACCCGCAGGTAATTCAGGCAGACCATGTGTTAACTAATGAAATAATCAAGAGGAATAAAGGGGAGAAAAATGACGCCAAGATGGGTCGATTTCAGCTAAGTTATTTTTAACCTTGGGCGTTAAGATAAGTTTGTTTCCCTGGATGTTCACCGTGCGGTTTCTTCATGTAGTTTCTTATTATTTCAAAAGTTACTTCAATCGCAAAGACTTATCTCCTTAATGCCTTTTCGCCAATACATGTATATCACTCCAACTAACAGGCGACCAAGATTCACTGTTGCAGCTTTCGAAAAGTTACCTCTCGGCTTATCGGTCCATATTTTCTACGTTTGTCTTTTACCGTGATCCGTGATAATATGCTATTTTTAATCATATTATTTATTTATTTTTGTCTATTTGAGCCTTTCCAGTGATTGTACAACCTGGCCAATGATTGTTTTTAATTTTTCTCTGCCTAAGGTCAATTTTCATCATGATGAACCATGATATCAATTCTCTGCACAGTATGCCATAAATTCACTGGAATTTTAGCTCTAAGAATTAGACTCAGTCACTGTCTCATCGCAGATATTTTCTTTCTTCCAATCAACTGTGTGCTTGAAAATAGCGCGACGGTGTTCGGGAGACACTACTGAGCTGAGAGTGGGAGGATCGTCCCACTCGTAAAAAAAATTCGACTGTTTTGTCGAACTAACACAAACCTTGGAAAATTACTCCTAAACGATCCACGCCCACTAACTCGTACCTCAGTTAACTTTTTTAATCCACTATAAACCTATTCACCGAAGTAACTTCATGGCGTGAAGGGAAAAGAATAAATGATTGAACAGCGGTTATTCGCACTTAACATTTACTCTCAATTATTGATGCCCTTAAATGGAGATTGAAGACATGGATCGCTGCTTAATGTTTTCATTCATACGTTATCCAACATCCTCAAACATTCCAAAATTCTCGTCTTCATCGTCGAGACACTGGAGTCAAAAAAAAACCCAAAATGTCACATACAAAAAAATCACCAACCAAAGTCAGCCGGTATCTGTGCAACTGCACACCTACCCCTCTCCTAACCCAATGACAGTCAACTGAAAAAAACACTAAGGAGTAATGGTGGGTTGTCTCAAATTCAACTATCATCGTTTTTCCGTGTCAGTATACCATTTCTGAGTCTGTCTTGCTTACACCAGACAGAACTGTGGTGGATTCTCCTCTAGAGTTTGGTGTGACGGAGGAACTTGAAGAAGAGCTTGGCTACGGCAATTGCCAATTTTTTTTGTATGCGAATCCGTCAAAAAACAAACTTTATACCGCTCTTCTATTACAACATAAGCCATGTACATAAAGCAAGAGAAACCGATCAGAGCTCGATCTCAAAGGTGAGGTAACGTATTTTTTACCTTCAGTCTTTCCTACGCCTTGAAACCATTTATTCCAACCTTTGCCCTTGCCTTTTTCTTCCTTCAATTGCTCTAAAACCTTGTCTCCTTGGGATAACACCACAGCTACTCGAACCGGCGTGACCGGTGCTACTGGTGTGACCGGTGTGACAGGATTGTCAGGAGTGACCGGGTTAACATGAATGGCGGGAGTAGACAAATGGTCACTTTCCTCTTTTTGCGCCTTGCAACTTCTTCTCAGATATCGCTTCAGAGCGTTCTACGGAGAGTGCGTTAGTGGAAATTAAACAAAATTCTGATTTTCCTATTCACTCTCTGACGGCACTAATTGTCCAATCTATCAGAGACTTTTTTATAGAGGAATGAGGGAAACCCGGTTTCCTAATATTTTCAAACCATCATTTGTAATTCCTTCATTTGACCTCCTCCTTTTCCCATGAGCAGTTAATTTGCACCAATATACAAGGTGAGCCTGAATGTTAAGAAAAGTTTTGTTTTCAATTATATCTTATTCGCTGTAGTGTGAACGAAGCACAACTTTACCTGGCCACTAGTGGAGCACGCAGCCAGCTTCTTGTAGCGTATCTCGATAAGCAAAATAAATATTGAGAGGATAACACCACTGAGTAAGATTAAGAACACTCCAGCCATGTTATCGACGTCAAGACTATGTATTTTCCCAGTTTTGGACTTAGATGGTTTTGGACATTGACTACGCTCGTCCCACCACTTTCGCCGTGTTTTCTCAATGAAGCCATTTTCCCGTAGCTGTAAGAAAATAAGACTAATGATCATGAAAGTTTGACTTTAAACTTGGACTAAAGCATTACACTGCAACAGTGTTTATAGCAGTTAGCATTGCTGTATATAAGAGAAAAAATTTCAGTGGATCATGTACAACTTCCTGGATTCTCAATCTAAAAGTAACTTGACATGTGTTGTCAGATAACCGAAAAAGATGAGTCTCCCACCTCTAAGATCTCAACAGAAATCTTATTTGTGTGTGGTGAGTTTTGCTGCAGCCCAATTCCATAACCTTTAGCTTGAAGTAGGTTGTCCAGTAACCTCGTGTTGCATGGTTTCTGTTGATTGTAGTATGCCAAGTAGGGATATTCTGTTATGTAAGCGTAGTTTTCTTCCCTCGCTTTTTTCACCCCATTAGCAGTAGAGTTGACGAAAGTTTGCTGACTTCTCATAAAAGAGAACATTCTCATGTGAATAGGATTTTCTGAATTCTGGAAGAATTTCTGCACGGAGCCGGTTCTGAGGACTCCGTATGTGGTTTGGTTTTGACTTTCCAGTTCTTTCAGGGAATTGATAGTTTGCACTTCTCGTTTAACTGGAAAAGGAAAAGGAAAAGGAAAAGGAAATTTAAACTAATTAATTTTGAAATCTCGATCTAAAGAATAGCAGCATTTTTCGACGTAATAAAATAAATATCTCTATTTCGTCGAACGTACTTGTGAAGAAGGCAGCCAGGTTTGCCGTGTAGGTTGTTATCATTATTAATATAAAAAACCAAAAGGAGGAAGCTAGCAAACGACCAGAGGGAGATAGAGGAGTGTTATCGGGACCCTGCTGTAGAACGGAAGCTGTAGCAAACCACAAGCTGTTCAACAGGTTGAACTCATTTCCAGGCTCCTCGTCTGAATCACGAGCTCGAGCGCGGTAACCAAACGGGCTCAAATAGTCCATGACACACATCATTCCGGTAATGAACAAAACCTTCAAAAATAAGTTTCATTTGGCAAAACAAAGTTACTACATTCTAGTGATGTTTAAAGAAAGTGTCGTAGCTGAAACAAAAAACTGGTGCACACATCAAGAGAGCCAAACGCATAGTGGTTAAAACAGGCGCGCATACATTCGAAAACGTTTTGCGCCGTGAATTTATGAAAATTTCATCTTGATCAGCCGTTTCCGTGCGACGTTGCGAACAGAAACAGTTGATAAGTTTACCATTTGCTAACAGGGATGTACTATTCCCTCGCAATTGTAAGGCAAAGCTCTACATTGAAATTAAAAGACACCTGGCATGTCGTGCGCATCACTGTAATTCTAGCTCCGATGTATTGATATCTTAAACCCAGTGTATCCCTGTTCTCTGAATTTTATCAATCTCGATGTATTAAACCCAAGTTATACCCGGCAAGCATGGTGCATCAGATATCTCAAGTCTCCATCATCTTCCACCCGGTAGATCTCCGTAATTAGAACCCACAATAAGTGGCAAAAGTCTTGGCAAACTCTACTACTTTTTGAATTTTTGCCATAACTTTCATCTATCTCCCTTCCCTCCCCCATTTAAATGTGGCCTGGTGTCAACAAAATCCTCGCTAATTTCAGGCAACATTGACTGGGAAGAAAAGGGGGGGACTTATTCAGTATCGTATTACGAGATTTCTGTCTGGTATGATGAGTAGGGGATTATAAATCACCGAGTAAGAGGAAGGGCGCCAACTATTTTTGCCTTTCATTGTAGATATCTCGAGCCCCTGGTGACTCCGGTATCTTAAACCAACAACAGCACTGGAAATCTCAGACCTCAAATAAATCATGCAAGTGATAATTTTCATGAGTCATTGAAATTTGATCTTAGATCTTCAAACCCGAGGTACTCCCAGTGTTTTGATCCTTGGTATGTTAAAATCTCCCGCACCTAGAACATTCAAAATGATGGAAATTAAAATTCCCCTCGTAAAATGGTACCGTACAATTCTAAAACCTTACCACTACAATCGTAGAGAGCCACAGATTGTTGGTGAAAGGCAGAAGAAAAGCGAATATATTGATCGGAGGCTCTCCAGGTTTGCGCATGATCAGACTCATACCAAAGTCCATAAAGGGTTTGCTGAAGTCGATGATCAATTCACGCTCTGCAGTTATTGTGATTGGAGCAAGAGCAAGGTCCTTTTTCTGAAAGAGGATAAACAATGGCAAAGCAAATTATTCAGGGCAAGAAGTGTTAGGTAATCGTTTGGCACCAAATTCGATTGCGCAAGCCAAATGAACTTAAATAATGACATTTACGGCAATAACAAACGAAAAAGTCCTATAAAACTCATTGGTTCAAAGCCAAAGCAAATATTTTAACTTTTAACGCAAAAACGGCTATAGCAGATGGCGAGGAGTTGCATTTTACCACTTGGCGAAAACATCTTAGTTGGCTTTTCATAAGACCAGAGATTAAAGGTAGGGAAAGTGCCGAATTTCGGTAAGAGAGTCGTGAGATAATGCCAGATTATGGATAATGAACTTCATGATCCCTGCTATCATACCCAGTATTAAAAACTACTCACATCTTGCAAGAGTGCAATGAAAAATAAGAAGACCTCTGCTGTTAATAGACGCATAGAAGCTATTGACTTAGTAAATGAAAGAATTTATACTGTTCATGAAAAAATAATCGGTTCAGTTCGCATGCAGTTAGGCAACACATCTACACCGAGTCGGTAAAGCGCCTTTCGATTGAGTTTTGTAAAATCCAAACCAAAGCAATCACAACAGCCAATCCGAAGAAAAGAAAATGCCTTTAAGAGCCAATGAAATTTTTAAAGTAAAAACGACCAAACTGACTAAAAAGCAGGAAAACGCAAGCTACCAAGTCGTGAGTGATTTCAGTTTTTCATGTGATTGGTTAAGAGTGGTGCAAGTTTTCTGGACCAATCACAGAGCGAAGTAAAGCAAAAACTAAGCAATCCCGGATAACTCAATTGAAAATTTGCCCTAATTTTGATAGAGGTTGAGGAGAGTCTCTTCCTATAGTATTTTTATCACAACGCAAAGCGAGGCAAAACTGATGCAGTTCCCGATTAGCTTCGATAGTCAACGAAAAAATTGCTACCTGAGACTTCAACGCGTCCACCATCCCTTTGTAGCTATTATCCAGATAAATCTCATAGTCGAAGTTTGCCTTCTTAGATATTTCTTCAATCAGATCGATACAGAAACCCTGAAGCTGGTTTTTAGGTATGATCCCATCTGGTAATGGCGTGGACTCATTCACCTTCTCGACAAATGGAGGTTCCTGAGAGAAACAAAGGATTCAATGACTGAATCTATGATGACAATGGATGACTAGTTCATCTTTAAAAAAATTGACCTTCATTTACGTGTTTTTCATGTGCAGTCCCTGTTAACCTTCGCCATCGTCACCCTTTCATTTCGAGCGTGCTTCATATTCCTATTGTGCACGCTCATTACGTCAGCAAACAAATCCCTCGAGAAAAAAATTTTCCATCGGGTTGAAAATGATATAAAACAATTGGTTCATACGTCAGCTGTGCGTTCATCGAGATATGAAGCACGCAGGAAGTTTGGAGAGCACAAAAGATGCGTAAGAGTTGCTCGAGGCGTAGCCGATAGCAACTCTAGCTTCTTCTAGCTCTAGCTTCTTCTAGCTCTAGCTTCTTCTAGCTCTAAAAAAAATTTTCCATCGGGTTGAAAATGTTATAAAACATTTGGTTCATACGTCAGCTGGGCGTTCATCGAGATATGAAGCACGCAGGAAGTTTGGAGAGCACTCAAGAAGCTAGAGTTGCCCTCGGCTACGCCTCGAGCAACTCTTACGCATCTTTCGTGCTCTCCAAACTTCCTGCGTGCTTCATATCTTGATGAACGCACGCTGACGTATGAAACAATTGTTAATTTAAGCTTTTTTGTATCAACCCTTTACACCTAAACATCAGTATCTATATTCTCTGTACTCTTCTCCGTACATTTCCTTTGGTAGTGACAAGGAGAATTCATTTAATAGTCAAGGCTTTTTAGGATGGCGATCATTTCCTTTATTCTCATGATCTTAGTAAATGATTCAGCATTATTACTGTAAGGAGAAATTAGATCCTGGTCATTCCTTGGGTTTAAAGGATTAATATTAACTTTACTGGACGCCCAGCTGCCAGGTGCAACGGGAGGAAGTTTGACTTTTGCCAGAGAGGTATTATCAATGAAACCTACGGATATGTCAGTATCTACGCAGCTGCGCACCTACTCCACCACTAACCTAACGAAAAGTCAGCTGATAGAAAGCTAGGGCAGGGGTAGATGTGCAGTTGCTCAAATACCGACTTTCATCCGAACCTTCTTGTGTATCATAGCCCTCATGAAAGTTTACACCTGTGTACATCATATGTAGGTTACTTAATCCATTGGCCCTAAAGATCTGGTTCATAATTCTCCTTTCCTGTTACCGTCCATTTCTACAAAATTTGATATTCAGAGTGTGATTTCATATGAAGCGGATATGTTTGCAATTTCTTCCACAACTACATGTTGGAAACACGTTAATCACTTCTAGGAATTAAAGGATTAAAATCACAGAGTATTCTCACCAACACTGTTATAACTTTTAGCACTGGGATCGGTTCTGGTTCGTAGTGCAGGTTTTTCCCCGGATTGTTGCACTGGACTAAGTGTGCGAAATCTCCCACCCACTCAGGGTGTTCGTTATTCACAGACACACGGTGATCTATCCTTTCAGGTTCAGGTTGCCAAGAGCCGAGCTAGTGAAAACAAACGAGAGAATGTGCGAATTAGTCATACAAACATATGCTGAAATTCACTCTCAGAGTCGTAAGGTCTCTCTTGCTTTCACTGATATGATAATCATGAGAGGTTGGTCAGTGATCGAACAAGCTTGCATTACTCTTTATGTACTGTAATTTACTCACAAACCTTTTTGGTTCTGTTTTGAACAATGTTCACAATGTCCAGGCCATCATGTACTCTTCGTTCACCCGTACGAAGTTTGAATTGTATCTCGCCAGTCAGACCCTCTTCGTGGAAAAGTTTCACCTTTGAACATAATGTGATGAGACTTAGAGCTCAAATAACTGTTGACCACGGTAAATTCTGAGAGCTTTTTTTTTTCTTGCCGAGAAGAACATTTATCATTTGCAATCTTTCATTTAAAGCGCCAGGCTTAAAATTTATTATTATTGCGCAAAAGCATCATGTATCGGCATTCCCATCTTAGCAGTATGCATGGAGTTTTTCACCATGGACCCTATTGAAAGACTTAGTTTGCCACTAGTCTCGTATAGCTCAATGGTAGAGCGTCCAAGTACTAGTCGGAAGGTAGTAGGTACGACTCCTAGTGGTTCAAGTACTGGTCGCAGGGTGTCGGAAGGTCGTCGGTACGACTCATAGTGGTTCAAGTACTAGTCGGGAGGTCGTCGGTACGACTCAGTGGGAGTACTCGGAGTTCTTATCTCCGAATATGCCTGTGTCATTCACCGTATAAAAACATTTTTCAAAAGAAAATTTATCATTACCTTCCTAATCTGCTTGAGCAGTCTCAATCCCAATCTCCTGCGTTTACTTGATTTGCTCCGAAAAGCGCATTTACCATTGTCTAAACGTGATAATATCCTTGTTATCCTAGGATCGGTGTTGAATAAATTCACCACTGCCGTCCCTACCACAAGCGCTACGTCATGGACAGCTGCATACACGGGCTTTGGGCAAAAGATGTCAAATGTGACCAGTATCGTATATGTTTTCAGCTAAAATTACCCTTACTTTCACACCTATTCATAAGCTAGTGTACAAATATAGTTAAATGGTCTGTCACGCGTTGTGCGATGTTAGAAATATCGACCCAACGTCCCTTTGAGAGACCTGAAAAGTAGGCATTTTTCTCACAGGCATATTTTCGCCAGCTTCAACAACACAGTATAGAGTGACAAACAGAGGAATACACATAAATAAACATTAACAACAATTGTTTTGACGATACAGCTCGTTTCAACGAGGAGCTATACACGAAACGACACAAAAAAAGCGACACAATATAGATAAATAGGATGGGACGCGAACCGCCGCAATACAGCGCAAAAAAGCGCGATGGCATAGCAAGGCACAGTATAACAAGACAAAATAATACGCGAAACAGCACAGTACAGCACAACGTTGAACGGCACAACAGCACGTGCGACGGCAGCTCAGTACAATATGGCATGATCACTGTCAGACCACATTTTGTTGGAACGTGCAACGACAGGAGGAGGCAGTGTGGCCAAATGATTAAGGCGCTGGCCTAGCTTGTAACCTGGTGGTCCCGGTTCAAACCCTCTATACTGCTACTCGCTAGATTTGTTCTCGCTTATCCTGTGTTCAACTCCTTGACTGCTCTCTCATAGCCAACTGGTCTGCCTCCTTAGTGCCAGTTGGGTTTTTTTTTAACACTTTGTGTCGAAACCGTGTTTAATTTCTATAATTTAGAGGCGGGGCCACAATTTTATCTTTCTGTAACTGTTTAGTGTTACCAACCGTAAATAGAGTCCCATTATCATCATTATTATAATTACCACACAACGTCCAAAAATGCAACTGCTTTCTCACCAGAGAGAATTCGGCTCCTTTTCCACCGGTCGCACGACTCTTCAAGTTTCTGATTAACGTCTCGTTAACAATATGGAGCCTGAGTCCCACCATACCAAGAAACGAGGGATATGTATGATTGTAAGTTTGACCTGCTCCAGCCACCTCCTGTAAAGAGAGAATGCTGCTGACCTTAAAGTTACAAGTAGTAGTCTATCTAGGGCGTAGCTACAGGTAGCCGCAAAAAGACAGTCGGACGATGTTACACATGGACATATCATTAATCGTGGCAAATAAATACGTCTCTCCCTTTTTGCTTCCGGCCATAAACAAGTCGAAAAATAAGCATTGGATGCTAGTGTAAGTTGGTTACTTACTCCGGCTCGATTACAAGCAGTCACACAACAAATCACGAAGAAATAATTCACGAAATTATGAAAACCCCAACTAGCAGAAGACAAACCACTTAAGTTGTAATGTGATAGCAGCCATATTCTCGCCCAACGATTTCTTGGTAATCAAGAACAAGTAGAAAAGGAATGAAAGAGTGAAAATCTTCCATGTAAGTGATATCAGCTATGGATATCTTTACTTAAAAAATGTCAATATCTCGCCTCGTATTTAGAGCGTAGAAACCTTTCTTTAAATTTTACAAAAGATTGCAAAGATCATTTTACCAAAAGAGACAAAACTAAGGAGGCAAAAATGAAATAAGAAACGCACGTGGGGGGTTAAGCGTGCTAGAGGTTCTCGCGAAGTCAATACATTACCAAGTCAGGTGTTATCCAGCGGTAGTCTTTGTCATTAATTCCAACGTATAGCGCCTACAACGTCGATTTATTAATTGTTAGAGTTGAATAAAATATGGAAAAAGTGGAACTAAACTTTAACTTTAATTCACTAGCTCTGTACTCACAAAAGTGACTAAGAAATGAAAACAAAGATGTAAATAAACAAGTTACCTCATTCATAATGTGATACAGGTCCCTCTGATCACATAATAAGATTATTTCTTTGATGCGTGACCTGAACAACTCAGTCAGAGAGCTGTGTAACTTTTCTCTGTCATTCAAAATTAGTTCTGGTATCATTTTGATGTTAAATCGAGGCCATCGTTTAGCTTTGGCGTAGAAATAGGATGCCTCTCTGACTCGGCGGGCTAAAAAGAGAGGAGCAAAAATGGATGTATTTAAAACAGCCAGTACCCTGGTTATGCAGCCCATCTCGATTAAGTTTCTTAAAATCAAAACCATAAAAATCAATTATAATGGCCAATCAGAACAAGCAAAAATATAACAAAGAGCCAATGAAAGATCATCGCAATTAGTTTTTGATTGGTTGACTTAGTGCAGCGAGTTTTCGACCAATCACAGAGGGAAGTACAGCAAAATCAAAGTGATCCTGAGTCCCTTCTCGCCGACTAAACGTTGAGATTTCGATTACTTTGGGCGCCAATTTTTATAAAGGATAAAAAACTTGCCACCAGAAACAATCTTCGGAGAGACAGAAATCAGGAATAATAATAATAATAATAATAATAATAACTACTTATATAGCGCTTATCCAGTCCTGTTCTAAGCGCATTACAAAGATAGAAAAATAAATTCATACATGGTAAAGATAAGGAAAAGTCTCACATGATGCTAGGTTTTGGATTTTGGGCCACGTTAGTTGACATGTAGGCTATCGATCCTCGCGAGAGTTCTAACCACGGCTATATACGTATGAGACGATTCATTAAAATATTCATCAAACAGCTGTACCGTCATAGACCACCGCTATCCTGGAAAAATTGAAGAAGTCCATAACATCGAACAGAGCTTGCATAACAACGTGATAGGGAGGTCTGATCGACATGACAGAAGTGTTCGCCGAATTTTCTGAAATGGAATCTATCATCATCAGCGGTACATGTAAAATAGAACTGAGAGTTGCGGCCTTCTTATCCTCGCTCGCCAAGTCGATGATAGCTATCACTTGAGACAGAGACGATAGGACATCTACAAACATATGACAAGAACAATTTAAAGCTTGTGGACAATTACGAGACAAGGGTACAAATGCATCTGGGGCTAAAACGAACTTTGATCATTAATTACACAGACATATATACAATTCCTAAAGTTAGCGCTTTAGGAAATGTGTAGGGAACGGTATGGAAGATACCCATACTGACGTTATGGGGTGCATGGTTAAACTGCGCTGCGAATATTTGTGACACACCATTTCATTTATGATTAGCTTACTCAAAAAAATTGCGTTTTTTTTTCTTTGAAGTCTAGCACTCGCCGGAAAGGGCAAATCGTGCGAGCATAAGCTTGGCAGATCGTATTTATGGATTTACCTCATACTATGAGAAGTACATGTAAACAAAGCACTGTACCTCATCCACTTTATTTCAAGTTAACTCCAACTAAGAGGAACAGCTAAGTTGAAAAAGTTTGTCAGATTTCTCGAAGGTTTTATTTAAGAGAGATGACTCTTAAATAGGCTCTTACCTAACTTGTGACATAATTTATCGACTCACAACTGATTTTAATTGTTGAAGAATCAATTCCAACAACAACTTACCGCTTGAGAGAAGATCTTTTCCATCAACTTGTTCATCGATTAAAGTAAACGTTATGTTTTCTAACATAAGTTTCCTGGGAAGAATGCTTTCGAAGACATATTTAAGGACATGATGAAGGCTGGCTGTCTCCCTACGGTGTAACACACCTGGAGGGGAGGAGAAGGTGGTGAAAAGTTAAGGCGATAATTAATGAGAGCGTGAAGCGCAATCGTGGAGCCAAACAAAAGCACTTTACTCTCTCTTCGCGTTTGACTTAATCGCATGTTCTTTTTCTTTAGCTTTTAGTCTAAGTGGTAACTGAGAAGGCCATCTTCACCCTGTGATTAAATTTGCTTTCTTTATCTTCTTTCGTGTTAAAGAAAATAGAAGACGTCTGTGTCCATATAAGATAACTAGGTTTCCAACAGAAATGCATAATTCTCAAGAACTAGCGTAGGAATCGCGAACAAAATCCCTGTGAATAACCATCAAGGTGCAGTATCGATCTCTTTTGATATTATCAATTGATCCAGCCACCTCCCAAATTGCAATCTTCTTAGCAAAGCACCGACTGCTAAATATAATTATCACTACCAATGTAACTTTTTTATTTTATTTGATTGATTCATCCCTGCAATGTTTCACTCGTAGAGAAAGATACTCAAAGATACGTATAAGTTATACACATCCTAAGTTTAAAGTCTCCCATTCAATGTACACGATTATCAGAGATACATATATACTCGAGGAACGAAACTGATGCTAAATATGTCTCTTTGAAATGGTGTTTGAAGTCTGTAACATATGACAAAAAGCACCTCATTTGACTCTATATAGTTACTAAGCATTAAATGGGATGCAAAGCTCACTAATAAAGACTTAGTCCTCAAAACCTATTGTTCAGCAACTTGTGTTTGCGACATGAGCAGATGTAACTATTTCAAAAATACCCTTCTAAATTTTCAACATCAGTGGTTCATCCGAGAGACAAAACAGTAAATGAATCGCGCATGCACTCACAGAATATGAAAATGAAGCCAAAAATAACGTCTTTCCTTTTTACTTTCCCCTTGGTTTTGGTTCATATTTCGTGTTTCCTATAATTGTTTCCATGTCACTTGCTTCCTTTCGTTTTTTAAACAACCCTTACCCACTTTCACTTACTTACAAAAGTTCTGTTTTTTGTCACATTCCCTTTACGAAACAGATTTGATTACTAAACAAAAAAAATAAAAGTCACAAACCTATTTTGACGTCGCGAATCGTCCTCCCGGAGGAACAAGTCCAACATGCCACGAAGAAAAACATTACCATAAATTTACCCATTCTAAAAAAACCAAGGTAAAAATGACGAGGAACGTAAAAAAAAATTAGGGATTGATTCAGCGGCAGTAAAGCTCAAGCAAAGTAATTTCCAGCCTCATAATTTGAACCTAAAAATGCATGGTATGTGAGTTTGCGCATGTTAAAATTTTCATCATTTCACAATACATCAATAATTGACCTCCCTATGGTTCTGCTCGCAAAGAAAAATCAATTATTGACGCAAATATGGAGCGTGGATTTCGTTAAAAATGTAGCGAAAAACGCAAAGAAAGGACCGATTGACGCTAACAGATAAATACAAAACCATAAAGGAACTTTAACAAAAGGTTTTAACATTTTTTACGAGCGTGGGACAAAGAGGAAATTCGTAATCCTCAAAACAATCACACCAAAGATTATTTCACTATCACAAGAATTTTGCAAGTTGAAGTTGACAGACACTCACACTATCTACGCTCATCTCTCTCAGTGATTAACTCACAACTGCAGAACAATTTTTCAAATGCCTTGAGATTTAAACATTAGTTGCAGAGTTAACCGGCAAATGATTAGGAAAAATTGAACAAAAATGTCCCGATGGAACGTTGTTACTCTTGTGGATGATGCCAGAACACCAAATGACGCAGTGCAGAAGATCCGAACGACGATAAAAAATGGCCACACCACAACGCCATGGTAAACATCCTCTCTTGCTAACCATGAGTGGTTTATGCAAACACCACCCAATGATACAGTGTACTCATTTTTGTAAACAAGGCTGTCCAGTTAAGAGAATTGTTATCTTTGTATCACCAACCCCATCAACAAACTACCACTGCTTCACAAGTCAACAAAGTTCTTCCTTAGAAAAAAAAGTTCAAGACTAGTCGCTGGCATGGCAAACAAAATTATGTATCGCCCACTTGGAATCAAACTCCAGCCAGTTCCGATTTTATACTCGGATGTTCTGTCAACTGATCCACAAAGAATCTGTGGATGAGAAGCGCGTCGCACAGTGCAAAGGATCTGCAATGAGCAAAGAAAATATTTGAGTACCCTCCTTCAGGAATTGAGTCCTAACCAGTTCAGATTTTCCGTATAAAAGCTCTACAAACTTAGCGACAAAGAACTCATTGAAGACTTGAGCCATCATACACTGAGTCGAGAGAACATGAGATCATGTTATCTCGACTGGGTTCACACATAACAAGAGAGTAGCACATTGCTAAGATCAGTAATGTCAGCAGTACTATGTGCAAAAACAGAGTGAAAGGAATGGCAATCTTTAACTTGGTCGTCAAATAAAGAAAAAAAATGGGATAAGGAGGGTTAAGGAGGGAAGGAGAGAAAAGACAAGCACATTGATGATAACACTCTCTCCCACTCCCCCACTTCCCACTGTGGCCCGGGTCAGGTGACAACAGCCAATGAAAATTAAAAATGGTAACTGAAACTGAGTGGAGTGCGATTTGATCTGAAATCATATGCGTGATTTCAGACCAAAATCACACTTATAATTACTTTCATAATGAAATCGCAAAATTCAGTCGCTCATACACACGATGTTCATAGCCTGTGCAAATGTTTTGTTGAACCAGCAATGAGTTGATTGGAAGAAAGTTGCAAAAGTTGTTTTTAGCTTTATTTGCAATTTGATAGGTTTCTTTAAATAAGTGTCTGTTCTTGTATTTAAGTAAATTATCATCAATAGTTTGGAAAAAGATGCAATTTAGTGGAGAAAATGGTGCCATTCGTGAATATATCGCACCAATGAAAGCCAGTGATTTCAAAATGGATGACGGTAATGAAGCCAAGTATTACAAAGAGCCAGGGATGAGTAAAGTCCCAAACCACCTGAACTGAAGCACAGGAATACTTGAGTGTCAAGTCGCGATTCGTTCAGTTTAAGGGAATTTTTTTTTCCTGACGATGGATCAGACAAAGTGATGAAAGCAAATGTAATTGTTGCAATCCTGAATTACTTTCGAGACGCAGTTCTTAGTTTGTACCAATAATTTGTCTAATAGTGAATTACATATATCTTATCTGCTGTTGTCAAAGCACTTGTCATATATCCTGCCATACAAGCGTTATCAGATACAACAGAAACAGGAGACACGTCAACACAGATAATGACAGACGCTAATTGCTATTCATAGACAGGACATTTTTCAGACGTCTTGAATGGCCGAAAGAAGAAGATTACGCCATTTGAATTTAAAATAGAAAAAGGAAAAGAAAGAAAGAAAGAAAGTAAAGAAGGCTTTTGAGAAAGGCCAAAAAAAGCCAATAGATAGCAATCCAATTTTTCTTGGCTTGAATATACGTTATCTATAATAGTGGTCAAGGATATTCTAAGGAATAAATACTCGGCAATAATAATGACGCATTCTATTCCTTTGAATGACGATAAAAACCAACCAACAAGAAAGGAAAATATGACTTGGGTCACAATGGGACGAAGAAATATTTGCGACTTTCTTTGAATCTTAACTTCTTAGTCCGACACCTTCCTTGCGACTTTATCTTGTTTGAAGGAAAATTGTTGCAATCGTAAATTTTTAGGGAGATGCGCGAGAGGCATGAGGAAAACTCATTTCGAGAGTTGTCACAAACCGCCAAGACACTTTAGGTTCCTTAATATGAGTCGCCGCTAATCTTTCAATCATTTCAGGTGTGTTATACTGATACGTTTGCCCACTCCCTGCCCCAAAAAAGTGATTAGAGCAACAACAACAACGGGGACAATATTCCCGCAGTAAATTGAACTTTGCTTCGCGCTGGTCAAAATACAAGCCACCTGCCCTATACTTGTATCTTTATTGCCATTTGAGTGCCCTTTCAGTTTACCCGCCTATTCTTGATTTTCGCTTCAGATAATAAGCTCCCTGATAACAAATCTCACTAAACTTAATCACCTCTAGAAATCGAACATCAAGTGACTTAATGGGCTGGGCTTGCAAAAGATGGATAGGTCACTCGTCATGTCTCAAATACGTTAGTGTTTTTTGAAAACCCCCACTTCATCTGCCAATATCTCGAGTCAGGTCGTCAAAAATTTGAATGCCCTGGTCTCAGACGTTCCAACAAACGGTAACTACGTATATAAAATTTTTATGAGGGTCATAAAATAAAGAAGGACGTTTTTCGTTTCTTGCAAACGTTGGACCACGGTGCCGAGCTCTACAACTGAGCCACAGAGAACTTGCTGTACAGTAAATGGTTTGAACTTAAAGTAAACATTTGACCGCGAAGTCTGATCGTTCGAGTGAGGTTAGTCCTGAGAAAGACTACTGACGTTAGTGGTGACTGACGTATCGACAGTCTAAGCGGAAATCATCATCAGAGTCTTGTGAGGAGTTCTGTCAATCGAGAACTCGTTGGTGAGTTAGAGCATAACCTAGATTAATTTGTTACCCACGAATTTTGTTCTCTCTTTTTTCCAACGTGAAACGTTTACTTGTTGAAATATTAATACTCACTGTAACAGTGAGAATTTTTTTTATAAAAACTAATTATTTGTCAAAAGAAAATGCCTTTCATTTAATTATATAAGACCTTTATTTACAGTCTTAGGGAAAAATGAAAAACTGAATAAATAAGTGAATAACCAAATTAGAATACAACAGAATTAAAGACATTGAAAAAGGGGAAGATGGCTGAAGTAAAACAATACAAAAATGTTCACCGTTACATGTATTTCTATTGTTACTCAATTCCAATTAAAGGGAAAATTTTTTTATTACTCAGTAGAAAGAAAACAGAAATTACTTAAAAGGAAATAACCGTCGTCAACGATTCCGTTTCTCTGGTTACAAATTTTTGAAAAGGAATAATCCATTTAGAGTTTAAGATGAGACAAGGCGACAGGAAAGAGCATTATGAAGCATTATGATAAAAAGATAAACAAGAAAAACAACAGGTACGATCGCCGATGGATAAAACAGTGGTTTAATAAAACTTTGAACGACATACACATTTCTCGTAAGAGAAAAGCAAATAACTTCTTCTTATAATTTTGGTTAAGTCACTCAATCAATCAAAACAACTATTCTATTAAAACTAGCCCCTAATTCCTTTTACTTAGAAATAGAAGGTTCGGTCCGAGTAATTTGAATAAAAGCCAGACATGAATATTCTAATTACGCGGTTTAAAAGGATTGATATACAATTTCAATCAACAACTGTTCCATGATTTGGCAGCGTGGAACTCATTCAGTCAAAGGATGGATCGTTTCAAGTTGTGTACAAAGAACGTAAATAAATTGCAATTTGGTTCAGTATATGGTGGCCATCTTGCATTTTAAACACACTAAATACACGTTTTAAGCTATCTATTTTGTCATGGTGAAGTGTTCTTTTAATCTGCGGTTATTTTAAAAAACAGGCAGTGCTGCCCAAAAGGTCATCCGTTGCGAGCCAGATAGATTTAACAGATTTTCAGACGAAAGCGAAACCACCTTTGCCATATTGAATCGACAGGATTTGCTCGTTAATTCGATGAGCACGTCTCCATCTTAATTTTGTATATGCATCTAATTTTCGCATGGAGAAGTCAGCGCGACTTCATCGCCGAGTTCCGAATAATATATTTTACTGAGGAAGCGAAACGCCAAGTTCACTGGAAACAGGAAACCTGATCTGTTCAAAACACGAACAATCAGAACAACCGAACACAGCAATAATAACACAACACGCAAGATAAAAACAACCAGTTCTGGCACTAAAACTGCAAAATTACCGCAACTTGCATGCATAATTACAACACCCTGGTGAGCGGTTTATCTTCAAAAAACTCATCACATTTGGCAATTTCATGTTTCCCAAAATTTCAGCTTCGAAACTAAAGAAATGGTTTAGGATAATTTCATTTATAAACAACGAGCTAAATACTGCGCCAAACGCTAATCCAAGTTCGGTTTTGTGTGCTTGTAAACTAAAATTTTCGCTTTTAAACTACTAGTCACTGGAGCAGGTGTTACGGTTCATCAAGCCATTATTCTAAGCCTAAAGCTTTGCGTTGTTCCTCGTAGTGTGTAATGTTTCGTTTCATGATGTCCATACACGGTCCTAGAAGCCTCTCAAACGCATCTACATTCAAAACCGCGCACTTTGCTTCTCCCTCTGCGAAAACCGAGGCGGATCGCGGATTCTTCGTCACCAGCGCGACCTCTCCGAAGTAAGCTCCTTTTGTCAGCCGAGAGATTTCTTTATCTGATACCGTGACGCGAACCGTGCCGGCCTCGATAAAATACATACAATCTGCCTCGTCATTCTGTCGAATGATACACTGGCCATCGTCAAAGATTTTTGTTTCCAAAGCGTCGGCCAAATTCATTCTCTCGTAAGCCTGTAGTTCCTTTAACATGGGGACGTTCTCGAGAAGGGCCTCGTACATTTGTCGCCTTCTAGCTGCAGCTCCAACGACTATTCGCCGAAAGGTAGATTGATCGAGAGCCCAAATGCTTCCTTCAGATTTAGCTATAATGGTAGCATTTCTGGGGCAGTTGTACATGAGCGCAAGCTCGCCAAAGCTGCCCTCATCTTTAAAAGTATGAACCTTCAGTTCTTTGCCGTCCTTCTCTATAAAAACATCAAAGACGCCATTATCAATTACATAGAAATTGTCTCCATCGGCTCCTTGCCGAATAATTTCGTCTTCGGGGCTCACCTTTCGCTCGAACATAGCGTTTAGAATTTCTTTAAGCTGGTCTCGGTCGCACGACTTGAAAAGCAAAATGTTCTCGACCGATTTTTTCAAGCGCTGTAATTGTTCATCTGTTTTTGGGTGAACTACACATTTCACCTCCGTGTCGTTTTCATTAGGGTTGTACGCTTCAGCTGCGACGGCTCTGCGTCTTCCACGAGCAGGGATCTTCGGCGGCTCTTGCACTTCTTCCTTATCCTCTACAGTTTCTTTTTTTTCGGGTTTTGATGCGGCCGATTCTTTTCCGGCTTTGCTTTCTTTCTTCTTTCTTCCAAGGCGCAGCATGTCGAAGTAATCAGCGGCGAACTCGACTAAATCGCTTGGATTCTCCTGAATGCACTTGACGACAAATTCCTCGAGTAGATCAGTTAGCCCTGGGGGAATAGAAAACTGAGCGGTAGTTTCCATTCTCCGGTTTCGCTTTCCTGATCGCCTTCAAAACGTTGTCTTCAAATTTACACATCTCTAGTTTTGTCCTGGCTTCTAGGCAACGGTGCCCCAACACTAGCGCGTCGGATGGACGGACACTGAAGCGAAAGTCCGTTCCACCAATAATGGATAGTCCTTTGCTTGAATTTGACTCTGGTGTTATCCGGTGAGAATTTTTATATGGAAACTTCTATTAAATTAACTATAAGAAAATCCCCGTCTTCAAGGAGATTTTCAGAAGGAAAGTCTTTATGCGGTTTGAGTTTAACCAGCTGTCACTCTTATTTGGTGGCTTTTATTGTTCCTCTCGCATTTTAATTTTTGACAAAGGTGACGTCACCATCGCTAAGTAAGACCCGAAGTTCAATTCATTCATCGCATCTTTTCCCTGGCTGCTTAGAAACAAAAAAAGACTTTCCGGCCAACTTTTCGGGTTATGAAACCGTCGTGTCCGATTTCACATAACCCTAGCGATCTTTTCCTTTCGACATTGTCGTCTTCGAGTGAATGTCAAGGGGGTATTTTTTTTAAATGATACGAGAAATATATCGCAAACAAAACAAGTCCGCCTATTTCAAGCATTATGCTAATACAGCAAGGTTTCAGGGAACTCCTGTTGGTATTGAATAAAACATTAACTGTCATCAACTGAAAATATCACTGTCAACGCTTTGAATATTTTACAGAGGACGGCTTTCAATAAAGATTCACAAGACACGAAAGAGTCGTGCAGGGAGTAACCAACTTTAATCGAAAATGGAAAAAAGCATATTTCTTTTCAAACTTTCCATCGGTCAGACAATGACATTTTAGGTGCAAACCAGCGCCGGAGAGACTGCTATCAGGAAAGATTTGGATCTCACTTCACAGATATCGCTACAACAATCACACATTAAGAAAGACAACTTCGAGGAAAACTGTTTTGTCTTGCGAAATTTACCAGCTGCACTAAGTGTCGTCTATGTTAATTACGGGAAAAAAATATTTAAAGTAAAATAAGATAACAAAAACTCGTTTTTATGTTTTTCCCGCACAAATTATTTTATATTCTCGCGAGGATTTTCGACATTTTCATATTTTTTTTTACGACCAGGTTGTGAGACAAGAAGGGAAATTGAGGACAACTAAGAATATTTAATGAAGACAAATTTAGTTCTCAGGTTGAGATAAGAAGAACACCGCTTTCTTCTCAGTCGAAAACTTCAGAGATGAAAACAAGGAAAACTGAATGTTTTGAAAATTTGGGTAACAAGATATAATCTTGGTTCAATGTTGTTTTTTTTTATTTTTTTTATGAGGTTTGGTTTTTGAGTCAGCGTCAGGGTGGTCTTGTGGAAAGCCTGATCAATCTTCGCAGAAAATTGGTTGCAAATTATACAATTTCTGTCAAAGCACCTGGCACCTTTTCAACATTTGCTGTTGTATACATTACTATGTCGCTTTTCAGTTGAAAAGAAAAGTACATTAGGGATCACCTACGCCTTTTATATGGAGTTGAAACGATCAAACAAGGAGGTTTATAGAGAAATAAAACGGATTGAAGTTTATATTGAAAGATAAAAGGCATGATATAGGTTGTCCGTTTTCAAACCGCATTAAAAGCGATAATTTCCTTGCTTATTAACATCAAAAATTTCATTAATACCAAATTCTTCATTCTATTGGTAATGTTTTTCATTTCAGCAAGTACGACCTCCCTTTAGATCAGCTGTCAGTATTTGTCCTTCAAAATTAAATTTCAATTTGCAATTGTCGGCGGTTCTAAGAGAAACGAAATGCCGCTAACTTCATCCAATTAAGCGACAAATCTTTCCTTAGTTCAACTTCAAACTTTAGTGAGTGTATAACACCTTCTCAAGCCCGGTCAACCAGAAGGAAGAAGAAATAAAAGTATCACGAGAGAAAAAAAAAAGCAACAGCTAACAAGAATAAACATAATTATCGAAATGGTCTGCAGATGGCGAAATATCCAAACTGTTCAATGTATACTATAGTTGGCTTCCCACGTGGGTCGAGACACGCTGTTCAGCTCACTGGATAAAAAAATTTTATTTCATAGAAATTTTTTTTTTTAACGTCGTTCAGTTGCAAGCATAACTAGTATGTTTTAGACTAGAGGGGTTTTGTTTTGTTAAGGAGATGGCTGCAGCCATCTTTTACTAAAGAGAAGGGAGGTTCATCGACCATCAGCTGCTTTTGTCAACTACACAAATGAGATAACGTTTGCCAGTCAAATGCCCCGTGAGAAAAAAAAAGAGAACGATGGAAATAAGAGCAGTGAGAATCTATTCAGTGTTGACCACAAGTTGTGGAAAACTTCAAATTAGCATGTTATTGCAGGTGTGTAGCTTTTTCCTGTGCTGACACATAATGCCAAATGGCATCTGAGGTGTTGATGAGCTTATTTTTGGAATAAAAGGGAAGAAAACGAAGAAAAGTGAAAGGAGGATACACCCTCCTAAGTCGTCTCCATAAACCATATCATGTAGGAGGGAATTGGATGATGGAAAATGGAATCACATCGCGCGTTTCCAAACTACCCGGGTTGTAGCTACTCATTATATGGAAATAACTGAGGATTAATCGGGAGGAACGTAAAAGCCACAGAATACACCCTCATAAATTTTGCGAACATTACACAGCAGTTTATTAATGAGCAAATGACTGTGTTGTTAAACTATTTTCAATAACAACAGCTGATTCACAGAACGGTCAATATGGGTTTTCACCGTTTAGGACCGGTTTTCATTCATGCAACCAAAGCACTTGAGCACTGAGCCAATGAACACATATACAGCAAGAAGTAGGTCATTTCTGATCTTTTTTAAAACAAATTACAAAAATTATCAACTCGGTACTCTGCCAGCGTATGTCAGCTTGCACTTTTGTTCGTGCCATTGTGAAGGTCAGCCTGTTACTCCACTAAACCTTCTTTGAGCTAATTTTAAAACGTCATGATAACATGTCAAGGAATTTCTTCAGGAAATTCTCCAGAAAATTGTTCACGAGGATTATCTTTGAATGACTGGTCGAGACAATATCCTCTCATTTGACACCGAAGCTAGAGGTCTACACGCAACTATTGTGTACAGTTGTGTTCAATCAGTCAGCCGGTAGACATGCGAAGTGACTATTCTCTGAGGTTACGAAGGATGCAGACACCATGCATAAACCTTGAGGGCAGGAAAGAGAAAAATAATTCAGATTTTAGACTTGGTACTGGAAGACGGTATTCCCAAACTCTACACGCCGTCATCCTTGACGAGGAAATCGTGAAAAAAAAATTGGGTGTTATGGGCCCTAAAGAAATGAAAAGTCAACCCTATACCGAAAATGTCTGCATACGAGAATAAATCGCATCGATGCTACAGCTTACCACAGTTTCAGTAGCATGAACTTAGAGACGAGGAACACGTAACAACTACTCTTAGGAGCTTGCCATCCTAGATCAGAACACATGTTACACTTGTCCCTTAATTTTAGTAAGTGGCCAAGGGGTGATCCTAAATCATGACACTTGTCGCATGTGAACCTCTGAGAATAAGGCCCACAGCGCCGATCCAGATCAGTTGGTACGTCATGCAACGACTTCATACAACTGTAGTTAATCCCAATATCACTAAAGATAAACGAAGTTTTGTCTTCTAGCATTCCCAACTATCTAGTTCTCATCTCACCGGCCTTCACCAGAGTGCAGCGCGCGAATGTAGCGTGTACAAATTCATGACATTTATCATTAAAACAACAGAGGTATTAAGCGCGTTCTCATTAGTCAACCGGTCAGTTTAGATGAGAGTATGTAAGCGCAGTTGTGACGTCACGCTTCGCTTTTTGTGTTTGGCGGTACAATTTGAAAAACGTTTCAAACTCCGAGCCTTTGCAATACTAGCAGAGTAATTTCAAAAACAAAGAACAAATATAAAACATGGAGGAAAAAATTCCTAAATCTAGCAATCTCTTCTTCCCTGAACCCCCACCCTATCGCACAGCAGATCGGTTGCCGCCTTTTGGCTTAGAAATTTTTTCATATGATGTTATTTTCTCTAAGAAGTTCTCGGCGTATAAAACTACTTTCACATTGGCGATGATATCCGTTAACATTTTTTCTTCGCATCGGGAACGCAAAATACCACAAAGCACGATGAGCGATTCAACTTCTCAACCATATTCTTGGGCTGCCAAAGCAGGCAAGTTTTCGCCACTTTTAAATGCTCACCCGGGAGGTTGGAAGAATCCTCAAAAATTATGCAAACCCTCGACTGCGTCACGGGTTTGCATAACTTTCTCGGTTACTTCCAAATCCCCCCTTGTGTTTAGATGAGAGTAACTATGTAAACACGGAAAAAGTTCTCTAGTGCTTAAATATGAGTTTATCTAAGCTAAGTCATCTTAGTCGCCATGGCGAGTAACAGATTATAGAGGGAAAAAAAGCGACCAACAAATAAAAAATAAAAAAAAGCGACCAACAACTTTTAATGGCGACCATTTTACAATTGAAAGGCACCAAAAGGCGACTCTTTGATTTAATGAGCTTGAAGCTTTAGCCTGGGAAAAAGAAGTACGGTGACAAGTTACAGTTTTGTGCTGTGTCTCGAGTTATGAAAATTGTTTAAAAGATCAATTAATCACAAAAAGTTCTCTTAAAAATGCTAGATTTTCATCTTAGAAGTTAACAGTTCCTGTAAGTTCGTTGCTAAAAAGGAACGTTAAAAAAAACAAAAGACCCCGAAGCGAATGTGGGATGTGCTAATCACAAATATGGTTACAATTATAGACACCACTGGACGTCTCAAAGTGTTCTGACTACCAATCAATCAAAAATTACATATGCCAAAGTTTGAGAAACAAACGAAGCATTGACTAACCTCTTAAACCCCAAAACTGATCAGCATCAAATTTCTCCTAAAAATAGTGGATGAATTTGACGAGTAAAAGTCACGAGAATCGAGAACACTGATCAGCCCGAGACTAGGATCTTCTACAAATGCTCACAGATGCATATATCGGAATATGTATTAAGGGTGCAAGGGAGAATCGTAGTGCTGACTACCGGTAATTAATTTTTTATTTGACAGTCCCTCTTCTCTTTAAATTTAAATGCGATCGTTTTGTAAGGTTAAAAAAGTTCTACCTTTTGTCGATATTGTTGCTCTTTATTGTCAATGCTTTTGCGCAAAGAGATAAAAGTTTTAACAAATAATATTGCTGACTAATTGCTGGTCACAACTGAATAAAAAGTTTTTACAAACATTTACATCTACAATAACATCGATAAAATACTATAAACAGTATAGTTATCGAGCTTAAGTACCGAATATTTCTTACACTGTTGGAAGAAAAATGTCAACTTTTCTACTGTGTTGAATACCAGAGTCTGTAACTTCATCTCCTCTGCCCCATGATTTAGCCCTCCTCACAGAACGATCCACAACTCTACCGCTCCGATCTAAACTAGATACTAGTCTACTCAGATGCCGGCTTTCTGGACTTAAAGAACTCTCTTTTTTATTTCTCCGCTGCGAAGGCGACGCTGAAATAGGCACTGCTTCTCCCAGGAGTCCCAGGTTTTGATTTGATACGAAAACGCTCGTAGTTTTCGATATTTTGTCGGTAAGGTCATTCCGTCCTGGACTAGACTCACTAGTCCAACTAGATGGACGCTTTTTCTTCTCGGCACTACCCCGTAAATGCGGTTGCGAACCAAAGTTCCTAGAGTATTGTAAGCAAGTATGATTTTCAAAGTTGTTACAAGCCGTTGAACGAATATTAACCGTGTCATGATCGGGTAAAATAATACAAGGCACTATTTTTCCGGCACTCTCTTCTTTCTTTGAAGTGGTCTCTATGCTTGAACTGTTACATTCGCCGACAAAATAACCGCTTGCTACGCTTAAAACCAACTTAGGTTTGCCAGAAAGATCCTGATTCACTTCCTTCGTTGTCAGAGTAGTTTCCGCTAATGAGGTGCTCTTTGAGTTAGCGAGCGAATTCCGTGCAATCTTGCGTCCTATAGATAACTTTTGGAAATTCAAATTCAAAAGTATTTTTTCGGTAGATGTTCTTTCCTTCGAAATGGTGCTTTCCAGAGTATCATTTTCTTTACTTGAATGATCTTTTGATCTCGGTATACTTTTCACTCTATGAGCTGCATTTTGTGGATGGACTTCAGTTTGCTTCCTTTGGGACAAATCCCTTCCAGCGTCGTCTAAGTAATTCAACTTGGAACCTCTGCGAACAAGCGCAAACAATCCTTTCGCCATGTTTCCTTGAAGAGTAAGTGCTCCTCACACCAACAGAATTAACGTCAAACTCCTTAGCTTATTACTTCATCCCAAAACATACTTATGCAAAATGATGAAAACACTTTACATGTTTACTTCGTGCTTAGTGATGCAGATATGTTTTGTTTTCCGCTATATTGTTCTTTGAATAATAGCGGGTCAATACAAATTACAAAGACAGCACTTAATCCATATAAAAGCCTTGCCGACAGAATGGCCGAAACATCCGCACCATGATGAAAACCAGCGCTTGAGTGGTCACAACATAAAATTAAGCTTTCACAGACAGCAATTTAATTTTGCACTTGATGAATGCGCAAGTTGCAAGTGATGTTAAATTCTTTCGCTGATCAGCGAAAGAATAAATAGCTTTTTTTATTTGTGGGCTCTTGAACAGTGACGTTGTATTTGCGTCATCAAATAGCCATGCTTCTACATGCACTTGTGTGACATCCGGCACTAGACGAGAAGTATCAGTGAAGAAAGGACAAACACTCAGCCACAATATACACATATAGGTACTACCCTTAAAGAATGATAGGTATATATATTTAACAATATGGTTTCCTATCCACTCTTACATTTAACAAAATCCATTTTAGGATGCTTTGGAAAGAAATAAGACTTTTTGTTCAGAGGGTGAGTGCCTTTTCAAAGTCTCCACACCTAAGGGGCCGTGAACTGCTTGGCTAAAGTATTGCACTTGGTCAAAGGACACAGTTATATAGAGAACGGGACAAAGCTTTGATATTACTGGTGAAGAGATCACTGAAGCCGCCACGTCCTTGGCGAGCGATTATTGATAAGGGTGTCACAGCAGTCGATCTCTCCACCTAATAACACGAAACAATGCCGACTTACCGGGTTTGACTCGCTTTAATTGTATAACCGAAAAGGAAAAAACCGAACCGTTGTTTCGTTGACAAAGACCTCACCAGATATGTAAGAGAAGGCTTGAGAAACAGGAAGTGTAGTGCTCTCTATTTAGTCTCGAACCTACACGCCTCTTTCTTAAAAAGACTTTGGGCACGCAAGGGAAATTTAAAATTCCTTTTGTCTTTTTAAGGTCTCCCGTACTTTGCGATTGTTGTTCTTAGCGGAGTGTTAACAAAATGCCAAAAGAAAAAGCCGCCCTTACAGGTGCTGTAATTTAATATGTAAGGCGTTGGTTCTCATTGCCAATTATTCTGTACTTACGTTCACAGAGATTGATCCAAATGTTCTTTACGAAAGTCCTAGAGATGCACGTTTAATTATAGACTTGAGAAACAAATTGTAAAGAAAAGAGATGTTTACCAGTATCAAAAAAACAATAAACAAAAGAAGACAGATTTAGAACAACGTTAATATGATAAACAATTGAGAATAATTTATGGCTGTATGTGAGTGCCTCAATGACGGTTTCGTGAAATGGCATCCTTCTATTTTACAATAAAAATCAGGTACAATATATTGCTGGATCATTAAGATATAAACGGTTATTCAGTGATCGTAGGAAACATCGTTATCTACCTTTTCATAAGAAACCTCGCTGTGACTTACACATTTGAGAAATTTCTGGTTATAGGGAAAACTGAAGATACAAATTTGAGAGGAGAACTTAGAGTAGTAGGCTAGGCGTTAAAAAACACAATATTTTAGCATGAACCGCTCTTTCAAGTCAAGAGCCATCACCAACAACACTTAACATTTGCCAGTAACTCGTGAAATTCTAACCAACAAGTTTTAATGACATTTTACAAGTCTCTCGATAGATTTTGCTTATCGGTACAAATCACATAGCAATTTAAGTAAAACCAAAGCCCCACACTATACACATACTCTTATTTCTGTGCATCTTTACAGGTTTCACTTACTCAGAGCCGATTCGAGCTCCCACTCCGACAGCAATTTATGTACCGTAACCTCTCAGTCAAGCCCTCCAGGGACTAAATTCACTAATTTAGCCTTATCTATTCCATATATATATATCAGGTGATTCGGTTTGATGAAAGATCAAATTGGTTCAATCTCGAGATAAGTGGGGCCATTTTTGAAAGAAAGAATTAGGAGGGATTAAATTATTTCATTTGGTTATCCATGAAGATATAACGTCTTCTGCCTGAAATTTTTTTCAGCTTGCACCTTACTGCTTTCTTAACAAAGTCCAAGGATTGTGAGTCAATCTTAACAACTATAAGGCATTGATGGAGAGCTCACGCTCGAAACCTCAGCTTAAGAAACTCTTTATAATGGCTAATTTACATTATCAACTCAGTTGATAAAAGCAAATCATCTTATAATACCATCCACCGACGCAGCACCACTTTTTCTTAAGAAACGTACCCGCTTTATTCATAGGCAATTATTAGTTTCAGTTTGGATATAGCGTTCTTAAAATAACTTCGCTTTGCTAGCTGCTGAAACGGAAAAATTGTTGGAAACTTTTTGCTCCAACGCTTCTATGTCTGTCATTTCGCAGAGTTTCTTCTCGGCCAAGTTTAATATTCCATGATGAAAGTTGTATGAGGGCGTTGACTGCAACGTACTGACTGAACATCAGCTTCTTGTCATGATGTATCTAGGAACTCACTCAGTTATATTATACCTTCTGGTAATCCCTCAAACTCTGAGTCCTCAGCCTCTTCCCATTGCCCCTTTTGAATTCTTTTTTCTTTGATTATTCTTTGGTTTTGTATCGTTTCCAAAATGTGCTTATAAATTCCCAATCCTAACAACGCACTCACAAAAAAATTTATAGCAGACTGCCATTTGCTTATATCTGTGACTCTGTCCTCTCCGAACCGACATGATAGCGGTTGCACATGCAAAATGACGAAATACGCAAAGAGGCACAGCATACTAAAAAGGACTTTAAGCATGTTTTTTCGTTGCCAAAAAGCTTCAGCGAGACCTTGTGCAAGCGAGAAGGAGGCGGCGCATATCCAAAGACGAGTTTCTTCGCCAGCAGAGCAAGTAACAGGACCGTTTGTTTCTACACCATCACTAAGCTTCAGAACAGCAGTCCACAGTGTAATTAAGAACACTGCATAGATTCCAGTTGGGAGCCAGGGCTTGCCGTCAACTTGATCGTTTAATACTTCTTGCTCTTCAAGTGCAGAAAGGTCTATATCCTTGATATCAAATTGTCTGGCATTTCTCTTGCGTTTCGAAGGTTTCCGCTTACTAGCGTCGACAAAATCGTACGCACTCCTTGATCCCGAATGTGTTGGGATACTATCTAAAGTCCTCAGAAATCCTGCGCCATCCCCTTCGCTGAGTGCACCACCATAACTGGCTGACGTTTGGGCAGCGATTTGCTGTGCTCTGTTAGGAACAGAGTGCTGTGCTGAGTTGACAACACCATTAGCCTTTCTGTATCTCCTAGGCGTTGCATGAACGTTTGCGATTATCAAATTATCCCTTGGTGTTGTCTCTCGACCAATGGCCCGTCCTGCATTTGCGGCTCTACGGCGCGGCACTCGCCCAGCAGGTGAATTTCCTCTACTGGATGGCAGTTGAGCAGAAGATAAACCGCGAGTTGCCAGGTGTCGAACTGGAGTCGATAATAGGCTTGTTTGGTTACGGGTGGGTGATACAGAACGACTAGGTGCGAGTCGGGGAGGAGATGCGACACGGTGTGGCACGTGACGACCCGGCGATGGAGCTTGAATGGGTACGTGAAAAGCAGATCCCGATACAAGTGCTACTGAAAAACGAGATGGAGATGACACTCGACTTTGCGCTATAGGAGCAGGTGAAGTGACACGGCTAGACACGTGACGAATTAAGCGAGGGGTACTGCCTGTGCTGTTTCGACGCTGTTGACCAGAAGGAATCGGGTTTGATCTATTCCACGAGATATCTTCTCCACTGATCTCAATTGAATTCCTCTGAGAGATGGTTTCATTTGATAAATTGCGTCCTATTTCCGTCACTGTTTGTAGCATAGCTGAGGAAAGAAAATTCAATCAAGCTGTCTTAAAAACAACAAATATTCCCCTCTTGAAGCTAATTTTATTAGCAAACATATGTTAGATTTCGATACTACATTAGCTCATTTTGCAGGACTTGAAGCTAACGCAAAAAGTTTGATGAACCATCCTAGCTTAACATCGGGGATTAAAAATCGAAACTTAATTAACTTTCTCGACAATCTACCTTATCTGTGAACGGAAGGATCACTTAATAGGCTAAATTGGAGGAAAATATATGCCGCCAGTAATAAAAAAATTGAAGCATCTTTTTGTTATCAAAGATAATTTTCTAAAGATGGAATCAATAGACTTAATTAAAAGGTAATATCAATAACAGAACTGTGCAGTAAATGTCAACCTAGGTAAAATCCTGTTTTATTTGTTGTGTACAACAACCACCGTAGTCTCATGCTATAACGCCGAGTGACGTTAAGAAAGGCTCGAATAAAATATACATGCTGGTGCTGAGCATAACGATTTTTTGTTTCCATTCAATATTTCTGTGGGTATCACAATACCAAACGCAGAATACTAGCTAGCTTCAAAAATACACATGACTATCTATATGAAATAATTAACAAATTTTTTTCATCGCTCTGAAGTTCGTGAAACATCAGCGGTAAAAATATATGAGGCCAGTTGTATGATCATCTCCTGATGAGATCGCCCGTTGCTTTGAAATGACTCAATTGTCCCTGAAAAGTGCATGCCACTTCAGCATGCATAAAGCATTCTGCCTGATAAGTGATTCGTGTTTTGAAGATATTTTACAAAAGTTAATTATTTCTATTGGTAACTATGATTATGATTTGCAATAAAATAAAGCAAAATAAAACTTTAAATGAAGCTCCCTTTTCTTTCCCTAGTGAACAAACGACTCATCGAAGCAGCGGATGAAAGCATTATATTTGAAAAAACATGGAAATAATTTTTGGCCGAGTTCATCGAATATACAATTTACTCGCCTTTTAAACCTTAAGAAAGACATTTCCACGAAAACGAAAAAATTAAACTTTCCTATGCTTTAAGTGAAGTCTCACCGGCTGTAATGTATAGTCATTAATTTAAGTGATCAATCTTTCGCTTACACTTCAAGTTCTCTTTACACTACAGATCTCTTCAGTGCTGTTAAACTCAATTACATAGACTGCAGTGAATTCTTAGAATATTTCAAAGAGCGGTTTTAACTCCGTCGAAATTGGATCAAAATCGAGATACAAGCGATAAAGTGTATTTTCACTCTTTGGTACTATCAGGCGAATGTTGAAAGTAACGAGGTTTTCTTTTCCGCGGGATAAATTTGAATCATGTAATTTACCTTATGAACAACTTAGGCTCACTGTATGACTCACATAGAGAGAATTACAGAGTACTTTAATCGAGATAAATCATTCAAAGTTTGATAGGTTCATTGCCCGTGTGCCCTTGAAACTTAGATATTACCATTTTGAAGTAATATGCAATGATGCCAAGTTTAGTGACGTCTTAAACTTCGTGTTTCCAGGGCTCAGCATTTCAACCTTTAAGAGTAGTTTTGAGCCACTAAGGAAAATGAATCTTGCCATCGAACGTGGCGTGGTTAGAAAAAATAGTCTCTAAGTAGACGTAAAGTTCAATGAAACAAAGAGGCCCTAATTGAGACTTGTTTTGACGAAGGAGTATTGAGCAGAGAACATCAAGTGCTAATAGACGAAATTAGGAAGCCGTGGTTTTATAATCTGCTAAATAGAAAGCTATGCAAAGTACCTTCTTTTCTGAACTCAAAATCGTCCTGGATACTTTCACTTATGTCCGTTACATGGGTACCAGAGTCAGAATCTGCCATATTTTTCTACTGTCCGTGAAATACGACATTTACGAGACCCTGGTCCGTTTTTCATGAACTCAGATAGGATCAAGAATCTTGGCGATCATTTGACTAGGGAGAACTTGTTATACGTGATCACAACAGGGCTCCTGTAAATTGATTCAACAGGCTTTTCTCATTGGTTGTTTTTATTGGGCGATAAGTAGAAGCTGAACAATACGCGTTAGGCGTCATCGAACAAAAATACCGCACTGCTAATTACTGGTAAATGGATTTTGTGGACGAAAGTTTCTGCAAACGTCTTGTCTTTGTCTTCACATATTCAACTTGAATTCGCTTAATTATTCATTGGCAAATATACGGGTTTTCAAGTAATTAAGAGAGAAGTTTTTTTCATTTTAGATTGTCACTGCCTACGCGACAAACCTCTCGTTGGTACATTGTTTAAATGCACGCAAGCCGTCCCTCAAACCGTTAGGGAAATCACCTCCGTCAAGTACTGAACCTTCATAGCGTTATAATATGTCAACCATTTGGTAGATGTGTTTTGTTCAAAATAAAAACAACTGAAAATATAGTTATAATAGTTCGCGGATTAAATTGAAAATAATTGTTTGAAATCTATATGACAAATTATACTCAACACAACTAGTTTCTTGATCGTAGTTGGAACGGGGGTAATTTGAAATTTGCAAACTTAGCCGTAAGCAGTCCCTGGTGCGTATTGAAAATTATTTCCCAAAAGAAGTTGCAGTGATTATAATTAACACAGCATTCCTATTTTTATCTTAAAATTTATTTAAATATTGATGATGGAGGGATAAGGTTGAAGCGGGTGATTCACTCTCGTTTGCATTATTACCATGACATAACGAGCACACCATATGTTAAAAGGAGACGAATCATCATCAGTTCATGTATTCATGCATCTATCAAAAGAGAAACAAAGAGATCTGAAATGGTATTACACTGATCGCGTGCTTCATCCTTTGATGTTTCTCTCAAACAAGGGGCACTGGAGCGTGGATGGAAACCGATACGGCCGGCGACTCAAATCCATCCAATGGAAGATTGCAGAGTCCAAATCTCAATGAGCTCAAGATTCTCGAATTTCAAAGAGCTGATAAGAGTGAGAGAGTTATTTCAATGCCCAATTGCACCACTGGAAGTGTGAAGAACTAAAGATGAATATTGAGGGGGAAAAAATTGCAAGAGGCTGTGAGGTGTACGACTCGTAGGAAGTAAAACCATCCACTTCCGTAAAAATCGTGGAAAATTACATAAGTCACCCAATTCAGGCACTGACATCAAGCTAAGTCGCCCAATCAAAGTTGCATAGGAAACCGAGGGTCTGGCCTTGTCATTGTTAACGCGGGATCCACTGTAATTGGCTAAAGCTGTAGTGGTCTCCCTGCCTGAGATAATTAGGCGAAGCTAGATAAATAAATAAATAGAAAAAGGTATCACAAAGAATTCTGAAATCTGAAGAACACCGATTACAAATATCGCTACTTAAAATTCTGCAGACTAAACAGCTGAACCCAATAACTGAGGGATAATTATGGCAATGTCGCTTTTCGTGCATTAGTCGATGTAATGGGCCAAACCAAAATAACATGCTGTATAATGAACTTGCAAGAGGTGTCACGGGCATAGAAAAAGGCCTATATTAAGTTCTCTCCAACTATGACATTTATTAGAGAGAAACCTAACGACAGGAGACACCAACCTAGCAGCCTTGACAACGAGAGGTCGGGAGAGAGAGCACAGGAAGGAGAGGGCTACATCCGGCCCAGAAACAGAACCATTCTCTGTATAAAAGGGCTTTAAAACCTCAGCAGGCGATCAGTGCAGTGCATCAATCATGGCTAAGTGTCCTTGACGCATATTCTATTGTCTCCAAATATAGCACGATGCCAATAATTGCAAAGGATTTATCTTTAGAGGGATACGTTTTAATTTCAAGTTTAAACTCTTGATCAATCAGCGAGGGAATTATGCCCATCAGACACCATCGATGTTACTGTTCCTTCTACTGGAGATGACCATCGCAACTGTTGTCTTCGTCTATTACTCCAAAGAGGACGGTATCTCGCTGTTACCACTCTTCACTGATGCCTTGGTGGTCGCGGATTCCAAAATCGACAATAGTAGCTTGAAATGCGCATCCTTTTTTGCAATAAGACACATCACAATCTTCCTCATCAAAGGATAAGATTCAAAATTTATCTCAAATCGGAATTTAGACGAGACTTTTGTTTTAAAAAGTTTTAAAAAAACCCACAAGCTGGCGAATAAAGGAGTGCTTTGTTAGGGACACATAATCAATCATTTTAAAGTAAACGTCTCGCCATGCAAGATACACTTAAGGAATGTCAGGGTTGATTAATAGATATGTAAATGATGCCAGCAAAGCAATTTTTGTATAGGAACAACTCAGCTATTCTTGTCTAGTTTTACGGACCAACGGCGCCCCCCTGGTAGGTTTGAGAACATTTTAGGGCAGAATTCCAACACTCATATGTATGATATTATCAAACATAGCCACAGGGGCTAAATACTAGTAGCCGGCAATTACGTAATAAACATAAGGAGTGAGATTTCGGCCAGTGAAACTTCAGACACTAGATTTGGGTTGGTCCCAAGAGGCTCATCGCGCAGCACCACCGACAACTTTTTCATTTTTTATTGAAAAGTTGAAGCGGCGAGACTGTTACCACTAACTACCCATCGTCTTATTGGGAGCATAAGGGTCATCCCTAAGTATAAACGATGCAGCATGGATCTTTCACGGATCATTAGAAATTGCACGTGATCTTTAATTAACTAGCAATGTTAGATGCCAATCTTAAAAAAAGGCTTCTTAAAGGAACAAAGTCAAGGTTTGTCTTCCTTGAGATTGTACCCTAAATTTTTTTTTTTAATTTTCAAATGTCTTAATCCTGGCCATCCGTAACCATCCCAATTCGTGTTCATCGTTTTCTCTTTGGTGTTTGTGCAAACTTTCAAACAATTATTTCGAGAGTTTGTTATATTTAAAGACCATTTTCTATGACCCTGGAAAGGAATCGAAATATTGTGATACATGTAGCTCCTCTGTAACAGTCACAGTTACTAATAAATGACATCAACTTTATTAATATAATTTGAAACTTTGTAAACTTCTGAATCAAATCAAAAGCAAAGAAGAGAGTTAACTTAAAACCCTTTTGGCAAAGAAGATTTGTCTCTCCTTCAGTATTAAGTTTCCTGAACAAGTTCACACGCGCTGAATACCGAATAAAGATTCTCATCTTATCTCATCACGTAGTAGGGTAGACTCAAAAAGGGGGTGCTCAAGCTTGACGACCCACCCAAAGTTTAAGTTGGACTCATTCAGTTTGCCAAGCAAAAAAGCCGGAAAACCGGCAGTGTTTTCAAGTGAGACAAAAAAACAGCAAAAACGTTACTTCTTCACTGATTCTGATCCTCCAGGACTCTTATTATATCTTATCATACTCATGGACATGAAGAGTGTTTGACTCAATTTCTTCTGTTCTTCTATTCTCTTAGAGAATAAAGCCATCGAGTACTGTTAAGTATGGATAAAATTAGCATTAGGTAAAGACAATTATGTGCTGAGCTGCTGGAGTTTAAGGTTGCCAACCCACAAAGAGTATTTATCAATTGTATTGATCGCTAGGTTTCGACTACTATACTGTTTATCTTAGACAGGCGACGATTAATACAATTGATAGCTTGTCTCTATACATTGCGAGAAAACGATTAGACGTTCAATTGTATCTATATAACCACCACGAAGAACAACATTTCTATTACAAGTAATATCCAGCTGCAGTCCAGCGTTATTGAGCATGGCTCGAAACTCAATTAACCAATTCCGGGCGCGACGTATCAAGTATTTTTTTTTCTTTTGGTATTTGGTAATCACATACGACGTTTGTGGACAATGTCTCCTTGTTTGTCTATCAGTTTCTTTATTCTCACCACCTGTTCGTTTTGTTACCATTATTAAAAAAGGGAGAATTTAATCATTGGTCACTGTTGGGTAATTGGATGCTATAAGTTGATTTTACGCTTCCTTAATGAAGGCCTTCAAAAGTATTTTTTGGTTACCTTTAAATGCGTTTTGCTTAATTTTTTTTTTAATTTCAGGAACAGAGATTACATTGAGGTTTAAAATGCCACTTTTGCGCGTAGAAGTAGTTTGAAACTTTCTAGTTCTTTCTATACCGCAATTAGTGCCTAATTTCCATAACAAGAGATTTGAAAGAACGCAAGCATATCAACAAACATATAATAGGCCAAGACCTCTGAAGCGTTGCCAGATAGTCACACAGAGCATTTTGAGCTGGACACGATTTCAAGCAGAGCAAGAGAGAAGATCAGCCACGATGATGCTAACGTCGGAGCTAAAGAGCCGTCACTTTTGGGCCAGCGCCCTGATAGAGCTGATCGCAACTTTCTTTTTCATCTTCCTGACAACTGGTACAACCATCACATGGAATCCGATGCAACCTCCGTCGACAGAGCTGATTTCTTTGTGTTTCGGACTGAGCATTGCAACCCTGGCGATGTGTAGTTTACACCTCAGTGGCGGGCATATCAACCCCGCTGTTAGCATCGCCATGATGGCCGTTCGAAAAGTGTCAGTCATTCGAGGGATAACTTACGTAATTTTTCAAATTGTCGGAGGTGAGAACACTAAAAGCAACTCTTAGCCTTAGTGTAAACAACTTTTTCTAACCTAAATTTTTCAGTGATAGATGCAGAAAGGGAAAACCTTCCTCAACGACTAGATATCAAAGGCCAGAAAAAGCAATGGCCATAACTATGGAAATGACTCGTTATTTCGCCAGGTTTCTGAGATGTAAGCAAAGCAGATATTTGCTACGAAACTAGTTTTTATTGCTTACACACGCTTCAATGAATCGAAAGATTAAAAACTCATTCGGGGCAGAAAGGAATACGACAAACGCTATTCCTAAGCCGAAATAGAAGTATTGCCATAACTATCCGTAGAGAAAATGGCTCCATCGCAAAACTGTTACACCCGAAAACTTAGAGCTAAGGAAATTGTCGATTGCTAATTTTCCAATTGCAAGGAAAGATAACTGTCTTTTCAGTTCGGTGGCAGTTTTTAATTAACATCGGGGAAACGGCGACAAAGATACAATACAACCGACACGTTTCTGGTGCCTTTCCAATATATTACATTGGATCAAAGAAATTGGCCAAATGGCATTCGATCAATGTTATCTCAAGTACACGTACCAAGACTTCCTAATACGTCATATGATACCTTGCGTGCACGCGGATCAATTGCCTGTAAAACCACTAGAGTGCTACTTAATTCATTCAGCAAAATCGTTTCACTTTGGCAGAGGTTTGAGCATTTTTGGCCACTGCCACAACAGATTACGTAATAAATAATACATCAATTGTGAAATCTCCGGAAGGTAAAGCATATCTACAATATTTCAGGTATTTGGCTAGAACATGTTGGCAATAAATTCGAAAAATGTCTAGAATGTTTTCTACTAAGAAAGCTTTCTTTGTTGCACACATGACTTCACATGCTTCGATAGGCACGAACGTGAGTAAATTTCAAGTGCTTTTAGCACTCAACCGCAAGCTCGTAGCTCGTAAATAACACTGATGTAACGAGGGAGGTACAATCAGCTAAAAAAGTCAGGTCTGTCAAATACAATGCATGTCGAGTATGAAATGTTCGTGTACTTTCTGGAGCTCAATTTGTTCCACACCGTGAAATAAAAAGAAAAACCGGGCTGCGTCATTACCATTTGACTATTACTTATTGTTTACAGGTTAAAAAAATTCTAAGTAGTTCGAGTTGCCAGAAAAAAGGTGTCGAATGGGAACACCAGCGCAAACCATCAATGCAAATGATTACTATTTTCCTGTTGGATGAAAGTTCGATCAAGTTGAAACAATAGAAAAAATATATATAAATATACCTTTGAATAATTCTCCTCCCAGGCATATTCAGATAAATGTAAACATTTATAAAAGAGTAATTTGTCATCCTCTGAGGTCTTTTGTTGTTAAACCATCATTTGACATGATTCAAGTTGAACCCAGCAGAAGCAGGGTTGGCAGTTAATTTTCCTAACGGAGACATTGCCATTTTGAAGGTCAACTTTTATCAATGGTGGTTTTTTTCAATTGTTGAATGTTTTCCATTTTCGTAATGAGTTTTACAAGTAGACAAGTTTTGTAAGTTTTGATAAGGTGTGAAAAAGTACTTAAGATATAGTCAAGTGCTTAATTTTAAAGTGCAAAGGAAGTAATAATTCGGCCTCCAAGTCATGGCAGCTAAAGATTAAAAAATCGTTTATGTGTTAAATATGGCGAAGTTGAGGAGGGGGGAAGTGGCGAAGAGAGAGCTACTATCGTGGGTAGGCCACATAGGTGTGTTTTGATAACAAGGCTGTGACCCTCAAACAGTTCAGTCTAAAAACCAGGAAATTTCGATGCGTAGGCAAAACATCAGTGCACTGCGATCTGAACTTAAACCTTTTGCTGTGTAGAAGCTGTATATCCATTCTTAATACTTCCGATAAATTACTCCCCCCTGGAGTAACTAAATAGCCGGAGGTGGGCAATGGTTCACAGCCCTCAACACTTCATTACACTGACGCAATTATGTAAATGTACCCTAACTGCGTGTTTGCCTACATAGTTATTCCTAAGACGTACGTGCCAATGCTGGGAAAGTATAAAAATTCGTGCACTCTTAGTTGTAAAGATTGTGTTCAGGACTGATATGCGTGCATTAAAAACATTTTGCGTCATATCATTTGCATTTGTATTTTTGATAAGATGTGTCAGCATGGAAGTCAATACCTTTGTTTTGAAAATTCTCCTCTGCATTAAGATAAAGATCGAGTTCACTGAAGTCTGAGAACAATGCATTTTTGTTCTCTTCTTTATAACAGGTATCATAGGCTCAGCGGTATTAAAATACATCACACCAAAAGAAAAACGCGGAACACTGGGCGCCACTGTCCCAGCTGCCGGAGTGACCGCAGGTCAAGCAGTTGGTATTGAAATCTTGCTGACATTCCTGCTGGTTTTCACTGTGTGCGCGAGTACTGACCCGAAGAGGAATCATTATGGATACGAAGTCCCTCTGTCAATTGGCCTTTGCGTGGCCGTGTGCCATTTCATTGGGGTAAGTGGAAGGATGGTGCCTTCGTATCGCTTGATTTAGGACGTTCGTTGCAAAAGATTTATTTTTGCGTTTAGTCTGGTCTAGCTTACTTTACTGACACTCCACGTTATTCTTTCAGATTGGTTTTACAGGGTGTGGCATTAATCCTGCGCGCTCGTTTGGTCCAGCTGTCATCATGAATACCTCCAAAATCTGGGAAAACCATTGGGTAGGTAACAGTGCCTGTAACCATCATTCTGTCCAATATCGAAACGTATCTCCGCTAAAAGGACCCCGTGAGAGAGGGATTTCTCTGCGCTGTGTACCGGTCCTCTGTGATTCGCGCTTGTTTCTTTCTTAGAGTGTTTATGGAACGCCTAGGGTGGAGCATGGCATTTTATCAAAATAATGTATAAAATGAACAAAGCCTAACCTTTGAACACTGTTTTTATTGCTGCATGGCGAGCAAATGGAAGTCAGGAAAGTCTCTAAAGTCTTTGTGGCCACTCAACTAGAAATAGAAAATAATTGTAAGAGAGAAGAGTATTAAATTGTAAATTATAATAGTAAAAGAGATGGATAATCTTGCACGCATTACGAACCAAGAGAGGACAACCCGCTCGTTGCGGAGTTAATAAGGAGGTGTACGAGGCCACCTTCGAACGGAGTAGGAGATTTTCATGGTTGGAGTTCATGTTTTTTTTTTTTTTTTGGTAGGTGTACTGGATTGGTCCAATTGGGGGAGGTTTAATTGCAGCAGTTCTGTATCAGGTGATATTTCGAACGAGGCAAGAACAAGGCCCAACGGCTGGTTCTGTGAATGAGTTGGACAACTATCAAGATTCCAAGATCTAAACTGTGAAGGAGTATTATCATCGCTTATAACGCGACTTTCCTGTAGAACGCTTATTTACAATGTTCATTCAGCTTTTAAAAGGTTGTGGCCTGTATCAAAGTAGCTTCACCAGGTATTGCTATTAGAGTTTTAATAAAGAAATCAACATAAGTGATTTTGTAATCAATATGAAATGGTCCTTTTTTGTTATGAAGAATGATTCATTTCTACGCGCAAAAGTACCAAAAGGGCTTTAGCTTTAGGTAGTCATGTTTATGAGAATTTTTTATGAGGAGAACAGCAGTGATTTAGCAATATAGATATCGAAGGGGCCTTTTTAACGAAAAACGATTCTTTTAATGCGCACCAGAATAAAAAGTTTAGGTAGCCATTTTTTAATTCTATCACAAAGACTTAACGTACATTTTTGCTTGCGTTTTGGCCTGAGAAGTGTTTATCTTTGTACGACACAAAGCAAGAATGTTTTCACGCTTGTCGTGTTATTTTGTAAACCTTGGACAAGCACCTTGGGATTGATTAGAATCTGTCAGTAACTGAATTAACATTGGTAGCTAGATTTTAGCGATTTGTTACACTTTTAAAATATATACAGGCACATTCATAAGTGTCATTTGAGGACAGGTTCCAGAGGATGATGGACCTTTAATTCCCAGAAGTGATTTTCAAGTAACTTATCTTTGCAACGTCGATACATCTATCAAAGACAGACATAATACTTAAGAGTTAGTTTTTGTTTGTAATACCTAATTCTCTTTTCTACCTTACGAAGAAATTAACAGGAAAGGAAAATTACCAGTCAGACCTGTGAATGACGAAAGGCAATATTCCCATTGCAAGCCTAATTTTATCTTTAGTTACCAATTTTTTAATAATACTTTCATAACTTACTGACAAGCAGTTGTGGTAGAAAGTTTTTAATGTTTTTTTTGGAGCTTCAAGGGTTGTGCATTTACGTTTTTCACGTGAAGAATAAGGTTATTTGATTGGGTAATAAGCTTAATTAGGATTCGAAGTTGATATACATCCAGCCTCTTACGACCATGCCTGATGTTTAAATATCATGATTTTGAGACATTTTCACGTCTTTCATTATCATATACTTTATTCATGAAAAAGAAAATAAAAATTTCAAAAGTTCTGCGGGATGTGTATTTGGTGAATGATAAGCATTTAGGTTCGGACGCTAATTTTGTAATCTTGAGTCGCTAACTTCTCATCGAACCTTGCATTCTGCTTAACGAATCGAAAGTAGCTACGCCTCGTGAGTCCACAGCATTTTCACTACTGTGATGACGAATATCGTTGTCGATAGAGTACACACCACAATAAACCACTGTCGATTTGTTTTTTGCCGCAATATCAACGTCAGTTAAAACGATTTTTTCAGTGCGTGACCATTGCGTGACATGTTGACTCAAGCAGCGTTGTCTGTACTCTTATCGACAACGGCAAAGTGGCCAATCAGATTATGACATTACTGCCAATTGTGGTAAAAATAACTTTTTTCAGTTATGCGTTTTTTCTTTTTTTTTTTTGCTTTGGTTTCTGCTTGGTTTTTTGGTCTCATTATCATCATTATCACTACCCATATCACCATCATTATCATCGATCATTATCACCATTATTAAAATTATCAATGTTATCAATATCACTACTCCTGATAATCCTATCACAATACAGCCGGTCTAGTTCCTGCTTTTTGAGTCTTTTGTTATTTTATTTTCACTTACAGTTGTTTCTTTCTTCTTCTCTTTTCTCACACTGATGAAAGCCCACTTAGGATTTAACGACCTCCAGGAAGTGACATAAACCAGTTCGTCAAGTTATTTTTGAGTCTTAAACAAATGCGGCAGTCAAGAAGAGAGGAGAGTTTTTTTTTTAGATTTTTGTGGTTTTTTTGTACTTGATCGCAGAATCTTCTAGGCATTCCAACTCTCTTGAAATATCTGACCGCCAGAAACATTCGCACAATTTTTTTCCACTCAATACATGTGGAATTGCGCTTGGTCGGTCAGCGTCCACCGATGGATCTTGCCGGCTTTCATATTTGATGGTCTGATGGATTCACTAGTACCTTCTACAATTTTCGTTTCTGTAGCACGTTCCTTTGTGCTATGCATGCGTTTTTTACTTCAATGAAGTTTAAAAAAGGGAACAAACCCCGCTCAGCGCTCCGACCTCAAATAACCAGGCTTGGTTACACAATAAAGCATTGTTTACAAGCTCTACCGAGAATCCCGCCTTATTCATCTATGTGATTAGGTGATGTTTGGTTTTTAGTGTAAGTCAATCAAACATCAACGGTAATTTTTGTCATACTTAATAGGCAAGAGACGGTCTCTCTTTAACTCTTGAAAAGAACAAGTAGCTCCAATATGTATCTCAGTGAAGGCAAAATGGAGTTTAGATCTCGCAAATTTTGGACCGAAGTCTTCGCGGAATTTTTGGCCACACTTCTGTTCCTGTTCATGGTCTGTGGCACAGTGTTACCGTGGAATAACACTCCACCATCCGTTATACACATTGCTTTCAGTCATGGACTAAGTATAGCGACTTTAGCGATGGCGGTGTTTCACATTTCGGGCGGACAGCTCAACCCAGCCGTGACCATCAGCATGATGGCTGTTGGAAGGGTCTCAGTCTTAAAAGCTGTGTTCTTCATTATTGCCCAGTGTGCCGGAGGTAAGGTGTAATTGACACTGTTTGCAGACTGGGTAAGGATGCATATGGATGTTTGTTCTAGCGCTTCTCTAGAGCAAGATCGATATAAGGTTTAAAGCGTTTGAAATGAACTGAATAGATTTTCAATTTATTTGAAAGCAGCTTTTAACATTTCAAGCTGCAAGGGATCACAGATTTCGCAAGGTATTCACGCCCCCTCCAACCACATATCTACTCCTATTGATCAATCGGCTAAACTGCTTACAGCTGGATTTAGTCAAAGCTTTCAAGCACCTATGTTATTAACCATTTTTTGTGAGTCAAGTTGAAACGGTAACACTTCAAAAGTCATATCGTGACAATGCAGAGTGCTAATGACGTTTACCTTAAGGATTTTTAATCCGGTCGTTCTATTAGATTATATGAGTGGTTCTGCTAAATGGTGGAACTGCCACAGAAATTTTGCTCCTATACTCTTACATTTTGCGAGGAGATCAGACCAAGCTGCTTTCGGGTCACTTTTTTTTACTATACTGAATGCAATGAACGAAAAAATAACAAATAATCACTTACGCGCTAAAACAATGAAAACAACCCTTGTGGGAATAATTTGTGCTATGCAATCACTCAAGCGAAGGTCAGGAAATGACTGATCTTATGAAAGGAAACATCGTAATATCCAAAGTTGTTTCGAGATCTTTTACCAAATAGCGTTTGAAGGAAAAGTGTAGAAAAAGATTAACTCGTATCCGATCATTATAGAGTTTTTGGGAGATTGCGCACGGTCAGAGAAACCTGAAGCACAGTTTTTTTTTTATCTTCGGCTATTACCGACTTTAAGCATCACTTTCTTCAGCTAAATATGCAAGGAGTGTCTATTATCGCTTTGATATGACACAAATATACTGCGAGCTGGCCTTCGTGCATTTGTTGCTCGGCGGATAAGCCTAGATAAGTACCTCCGCCTGGCCGCCTCGTCTCTATCAGCTTTGAGCATAAAATCACAAGGTTCAAAAGAGATTCCTAATAGGCTAAACCCTGAAGTACAATATGGGTCTGTGTCGACCAAGTTTTAAAGGGAAGAAAATGTTTTAAAGCCCCACAAACCTCCTGGCAATAAGGCAAAGTTGGGCTGTCGTTTTACCGAAAGTAGTGCTTTCAAATAAAAATGCAAAAGTCTTGAGATCATGACGGAAAATTGCTCAGCCTTGATTCAAATCAATAACATGCCACAATCACTCATGCGGTAACTTAATTAACACTACTAAGGCACCGGAACATATGATAAAATTAAGAACTTCACTTCTAATACATAATTTTACAGCCCAATCAGTTTTTGCTGACGAAAGGAAGAACTTCTGTTAAGTTTTCTCTAATGATACGTCAGTGAAAGAAAAGGGCGCAATGCTCTGAGCGACATATCTATTTCATACAGAAACACATCGATATTTTAGGAATAGCGTGACAAAACTTTGACTTTTCGCAGACAATCGTCAAGAGGGTAAAATCAAGCCGGAATATGATTAAGTCGAAACATGCACGACATTACAGTTTTAGAAGTCTCTGTAAAAGCTGCTTTTCGAATCAAAACATCGACGTTTTAAATTTTGCCCATAAATTAATCTTATTCGAATAACAGCCTACACTGGCTAACTTTTTTCATATATTGCAAAATAAATTTTAGCAGAGAATTTTAACTTCGGTTATCAAAAATGGCACAAATTGCCACTGAGATCGTCTTTTCATAAAATAATGGCTTTGCAAATTTAGATTAATCCTACACGAAAACAAAGCACATAAGCTTTATATTTTTTAATTATTTTTTTCTTCACTAGAAATGATTTTTCTGTTTGAAACCCACTTTGCCGCTGCCAAGTTGACGTTCAATAGGCAACTTTTTAATCTTGGCTCAGGGCAAATGTCCAACATCCGTCCCATGATGTTTTTATGCAGACTAGCTAAAAGAGTACCCCATTTACACCGGCAAAACACGTTTAGTTAAGCGGGATTTAACTGAATGAAACTCAAAAACAGAGAGCTGAAAGATCGAATTTTCCATAAGATTCATGTAGTCTCTAACTTGTATGTTCAATGTACTACATTTGAAGTCGTCAAACATCGGTTCAAGCAGTCTTTACGAAGAAAAGAAAAGCAATTATGTTTAAGAAAACAGCTTTAAAACCTGTTTAAGCTTTAGTGTGAATGGGGTATAGGATAGAGGAGCAGGAAAATGTAAAAACATGTTGTGGTTTCGGCGGCCCTCTACCACAGCCGGCCAACAGGTTATGCAAATTTTCCAAAATTCCACCTTACAACGCACATGGAGAAGGCGGAGCTCATTTGACATTAAATGGGTGTCGCTATGTTTGGAAAAATGCAAGAAAGAGGAAGTTAAGTGAGAGCTGACTCAATTTTACCCAGCACTCTCTAAATGATAAATTCAAGGGGCCGAAAAAGTTCACCTAAACGTCACCTGTTATTAGCGGTCTTTTACCAAAGACCTAACGAGAAGGCTCTTCCACCCAAATTTAAAAACCAACTTACTTTAACAGGGGGCGTTTCGAGCGTTAGCCCTCTGTCTTTCGTTCTGACGAACGGTTAACGCTTAAAATGTCAGCTTCAGAAACTCTGTGGTGGCCAATATCAACTCACTCGATAAACCAAATATCCCCCATCCCCACCCCCACCGACGCAGCACCACAGTTTCCTGATAAATTTACTCCCTTTAAAACTATAACAGTAGCCAAAGAAGAGACATCGGCTAAACAATGTCATAACACAAAGACGGCTGAAAACGGATACAGCTTCATAAACAGTTTATACCTCAAAATGATAGTCCATCTGATTAATTTCGATGTTCTGTTATTTTGTAGCTATTTGTGGAGCAGCTATAGTTTACTACATGACCCCAACTGATTCTATTGGCTCATTGGGTGTCACAGCTCCTTCAAATGGTGTCTCTACTGCGCAGGCGTTTGGAGTGGAACTCATGCTGACTTTCATATTGGTTTTTGTGATATTCGCTGCGACCGACCCCAACAGGGGTATGGCAGGATATGGGGTACCGCTGGCCATAGGGATTTGTGTGTTCATTTGTCTCATGCATGGGGTAAGGAACAGCTCCAACATGCGATGTCATAGTAGAAGACTAGGGAAGATAAGTCTTATCAAAGCCTGAGCGACTAAGAGAACAAGAATCGCCATAACTTCTCGGAGCTTGACTTGTTTTTTAGCTTTTGTAAGAAATGTGAGAAGAGAAAGGCCTTTCAAAATCTTGAAGACTTTGAAGGAAATACACGCCTAACTCTTGCACTGATTCATATTGCAGATTCCTTCATCTGGAGCCAGCTTGAATCCAGCTCGTTCTCTTGGTCCTGCCGTTGTTATGAATTTGTGGAGAGACCATTGGGTGAGTAATCCTCTCGGCTGTCAATCCTAGAAGGGCGGCAAATGATTTGTTGACGACTTCTCCCTTACGTAATAAATACAACTGTTAGGTTAAGAGCAGAAAGTCAACTATCATCTGCCTCCAGCAAAACTCGAAGAAGTGCTAGGATCAGCTTCGAAACTTTGCCACGCAAGATAGTAAAAAGATGTAAATAGTTTAAGATTGCGATTACACGCAAGGAAGAGAAGTTTAATTAAGTCATACGAGCAGCGCGCGAATCACTAAGGAGGGGAGGGTGAGTGAAGAGACAATATTGTTATACACCTGCGGTTTCTGTTGCTCTAAAGACAGACGATTGTGATAAGCTGATTAGTAATCGCGTGACCTTTTATATATTGAAATGTTTCCCGCTCGGGATATAATTTTGACATCCTGTAGTGATTGTAGCCTGATATTTTTGAAGCTCTTTTCTCTGAAATTCTCGACGATTCCAGACAACTTGTAGCTAGCACTCGGCTAGTATTTGAAAGAAGAGAAGCTTGAAGCTGAAAAACAGCGCTTTTCTACTTAATCGAAAAAGAAATCTTCAATCTACTTTAACGAGTATTTCTGTAAGTTCAAGTCTTCGGTGGCTATGTGCACTGAAAATAACCAACTCATAGTTTCCTATGCTTTAACAGATTTACTGGGTGGCACCCACTGTCGGCGGTCTCCTGGCAACGTGCACCTACAAGCTGTTTTTCGCCCAGAGGAGAAACAACCGAAACACTTTGGAAGATGATAATTACAATGTGGAACTCAACGACAACGATACATCGAAGTTTATGATCTCCCCTTTGTAATTGATCAGCGGTCTCAGTCGGTCCCAACTAGATAAAATAATTAGTCGGAAGTGGATACGAAATCTGAGTGAAGTGCTCTCTGAACTCGCCTGCTTACATGTATCTAGATGAGCCCTTTTACTCCTAAGATCCTTTTATAAATTCTCTGCACTGTTTGCCACTTTATTTCTCATAGCTTTAGCTCTAAGAGATTGGAATAAAATCAGAAGAACCCCTTGTTTTGACTTGTTGATATTTGTTCCTCACACCTTCCTCCAAAATAAGGTATTAACATCTGCAAGGAGAAATTACGTTTGGGTCACACCTTACATGCCTTAGAGTGAAAAGTTTTGAAAACAATAACCCCTTTTAGGCGTACACTTATCTGAAAAAAAAACAACTTGAATATTGAGATATGGTTCAAAGCGTCGAAAAAAAAAGCTTTACCTGCACTATTAGAAAAGTAAAAGGTTTTTAGATGTTGCTATTTTAACTCTGTTAGATTTTTTTTTGGAACTTCATGAAGAGTTTGTCTGAAACAAAGTTTTTTTTGCAGGAGAAAACATTTTGAGTAGTACCAATGTATACGAAGGAAAAAGCTCAGAAAAAGATTGAAGCTTTCAATCTTTGGTTCTCAGTCTTCAGTTAGGAAGAAGTTATCCTGAGAGAAAGACTTGTCCCATCAAAGCAACTCATCTGTTACGAAATGACCAGACGCACACGTGTATCATGAGTCGTTTTTTTGTACGTTGTGAGACCACGCGAGGCATCTGCAGTTGCGCAGATGCTAGGGTCGGCAAGAGACTTAATTTCCCCCCATATATTTCTCTGTAGTTCCTTAGCGTAAATACCTTAAAGGCCAACGGGTTGGCATATCCTGCCAAGAAGATAATCTTTTTTAAGCAAAGTTTGTACTGGCCTATTCCAGGCGTTGAGTCGGTAAAACGAAGTACGATTGTAAACGGCGCGATAGCAACGGAGGAATGAAAAAACGAGGGAGGCTTGGGTCGAGTTGCGTAATGTTCTCCACGATACCCGACCCAAGCCTCCAAGACTCCTTTGTTTTCGCGCTGTCGCTATTATCGCGCTGGTCACTATTTCGCTCCATTTTCTTTCACTAACTGAACGCCTGGAACAGGTAAAGTTCAAAAACGGTTCTAAAGCTAATTTTCTCCTTTTTTCCGCGTTTGCATCTGTACGAGTATTTAGACTTACCCTGTAAAAAGCGTACAATTTTCATAAATATTTTATTTCACTATTGGTCAAAAAAGCCCCTTGGAAAGTAATTAATTCAAACCATGCCTTCAGAAACACAATACAGCCGCTGCAACTACCATTGTTATAAAAAAAAGAAATTATAAAAAACTCAGCCACAATAACTTTTATCACGCATGTCCTTGCTAAACCATCGAGAATCTGTGTGCAGTTTCGTACAGAAACATTAGTTATTTTCATTACCTTCCTGCACTTTCTTTATACCATGCTCAGTACGAGGGCTTCAATATACTAGAAAACAAACCGTAGACAGAGAAAGTTGGAGAACGTATTTCCTTCCACAAAATTATCAACATCCATAATTTCATTGATTTGAAAAACCAACACTGACAAACGTTTCTATAGCGATCGCAGATATACCATAAACATTTCAGTTTAAGAATTTAAAATTATCTTGACTTCTATAAAAAGAAAATATATGCTGTGTCAACTCGTAATTATTGATGGTTAGTTTGATTGATTCGAAATTACGGAAACGAAAATATCAAGGTGACAAAGAGAGTTCTCTTAACTGACGGAGATTTATTGAAAGGAGAAAAACGTTTATGTTTAAAACAAGAGAATGATTTAATTTATATAGAAAACAAAGTAAAAACTAAAATAACACCCAATCCGAACGTGACCATGAAGAGTCTTATGATAAACCGCAGGGAAACCTGAGACATAACTCAAACTGTATAGCCAACTGCGTTTAGTAGATCGGCCATGACAGACTTCGCGCTCCGTAAGCGCAAATTTTGGACATGCGTTGGGGCAGAGTTCTTAGCGACAACAATTTTTGTTTTTGCGGTTAGCAGCTCGACGCTAACCGTGCAAGGGGACGCTACGGTCGTTGTGTTGCATGTCTCGCTTACTGCAGGTCTAACTGTGGCGACATTAGTGATGGCGACAGGACATCTAACGGGAGGCCTTATAAATCCCGCGCTAACAACTGCGCTAATGGCTACCAAAAAGATTTCGGTGTTAGAAGGAGTGTTTTACATAGTCGCGCAATTTCTTGGAGGTAGGTATACTGACGATTATTAGAAATTCATTCGGCTCTCGATAATTCGAACCTTCAAGGAAAATTGAAAAAGATTCGAGCTATGGGGAGTTAATGAGTGAGGACCATACATAAGAAAAACATCGGTGTTTATCATAATTCTGTTAAAACAATATATGTTTGTATCAAAATGTTCAGTATTATAGTATTGGAAAGTAGAACAAAAACGGAACGCTTTGAAGAAGGAGCTGAGTAGCAAAACTGTACAGAAATACAATGCACCATAACTTAAATGCATCCTAAACCAGAAAACCTGCACTGGGTGGATATTCCTTGTGCGTGATGCAAAGACAAAACAGGAAGATTTCTTGACTGATTGAAAACAAATTCAATGCGAGTACATCGTCGCATCATTAAATCAGATAGAACATGCCTGACTTTTACAGAAGGAATCAAGTTACCGAGGATGAAATAACGGACTGAGAACCGGCCAAAAAATCGGATTTGGTTTCAAGTTATCGTGTAAAATCACGAGCTTTTTTTTTTTTTTTGATAGTAGTAATATCGAAAAAAAAAAAAAGGGTTTCTATGCTTCTTCTAAGACTAAGCGATGCTCTGTCTAATAAAATTATAAAAGATAAGCCTCCGTTTGAAACTTCCGCGTCGGAGTGTTTTGACTTAAAAAGATTCACGAACGAGCAACTGGAAAAGAATACAAAGAAGCCCTCTTTAAATTTGATGCAAAATGTTGAACGTCCTTTTGCGTCTTTTAGATTTAAAAAAATGTTTATAGTAAAAAAGACATGTTTTCCCTTTTTCAGAAGTAAAGAATGCATTTGGATTTCGTGCAATTATCTGGGTTCTAGACAACAATTATCATACGTAACCTTCAGAAAGAAAGAAAAATCTGTCACTGAGCATACGGAGTTGATTTATGGCAAGGCTTCACAAAAGCTTTTGGTCTCGGCAAATCTTTTTGTCGGGCTGTAAACAACATCTCACAACACGATCCAACAATGTTGTAAAATATTGCGTGCGTTTTGCCGGGCCTTAAGAGCATATCTTTAAAAAAACAGAAGACTCCAGTCATTAACCAGATTAAAGAATGCAAGAGGTTAAGCCATGGCAGCAATGTTTCCTACGAAGAAATGAAAAAATCCTAAGTACCTCAACTTAACACAAATCGATTTATCAATGGAATGAAGACTGAGGTTATGGTTCAGTTCATCTTCAGTTGTATGATTTAAACATCGCTCACGAGTTGGCTCCTTGAATTTTGAAAGGATAGAAAGCAGAGAGATAAAAAATTCCAAATTGAAGAAATTCCATACTTTGTGATTCATTGATTTCATGGTTTTATTGAATGAGAGAAGTAATGAAAGATTGAAAAGCACAAAATTACTTGCCGAACTAAATACTTCATATTTCATCTCCAGTTTAGCTAGACGGGTGAAACAAAAGGTAATTTAGGACATTTCAATATCAGATAGGCTGTTTCCGTCGTGTGTTTACATTGTGCTTACAGTGGATTCTGAGTTTTGGCGAAAACCAATTTAATTACCTCGTTGAGCCGGAGACGGTGAATTCAAAACTCGAGGGAAAACATGGGAAGAACACAGTTATCATTCATCTTAAATTCTTCATCCTCCCTTAAATAGAAAACGATTTAGTGTCAATTTTGACGGTAACGCTTTGACGTCAGTGATAGATACGTTTAATAAATGTTTTCCATTTGATCACGGAAAGTTGAGGATACACAGTTCTCTTGTAAATTCACCGAGAGAGTATGCCACTTTGTTTCTTGGACTTCAGGTCTGTTCCACGCCGAATGTAAATTAATTCACGACCATGTCACAGACAATATATATCTCACTAAAAAACATAAGCTCTCACAAAACACAGAAAAGGTATCTTTCCAATCTATAAATGGATCTCCCGCTAAAGCACCAATCAGAAGCGTTCGTATGCAATTTGCCAAACTCCTTAGATTACAATTTACATTCAGAGCGTGCCAAAAAGCACAATACTGCACTTTGACATGAGATTAGTTAAAATTTCGGCATCTTTGAATTTCTGTTCGTTATCTTGCTCAACAACGTGTCCCATTTCTTCATCGATGGCAGAATAGCGTCATATACAAACGCATGTTGTGAATTATGATAAAAGGGCAAATTTCCGTTTCCGTACATTTGCAAACAGCTTGAATAAATAGAATCGTGTTTGAAAAAATAAATAAAGCCACCAAAAGACAAAATTTAGGAAAACGTTCATATGTTTAAAGTTATCATGCAAATTATTTGATAAACATTCAGTAATTGCTCGGAGGACAGAAGAAAGACCATAATTTCCAATCAAAGATGGAAGAAAAAATGGTCAAAATTTCGAGCCAGTATCTTGTGACGTAAATAATGGTTTTGATGTCTGAAGTTTCTAAGGACTGGGCGAGGTTGGATACCGAAAATTTTTAAGAACCGAAAGCATGAACAAACGAATGAATGAACAAACAAAGGATTGCTCCACGAAGAAGCGAAAGACGGAACAAAGGGACGAGTAAGCGAGCAATGAAAACAGTGACCGATCAAACGAACGAACAACCGACTCACCGATGAAAAACAAACCAACTCGATGAACGTTTCTTTTCACCAGCGTGTAAGCCATTTACTGACAAAACAAGACCCATCCACTAACTGAACGAGCACCCAACTCACGAACAGCACGAAATAAAAAGAGATTGTGCCACTATTCAATAAACGCGGTTATCCTTCCAACACCGCGCACAACAAATTGATCGACAGTCAACACTAAAAAAGGTTAACAACGTGCCATTTTTTCGATAAAAGAGGCTATCCTGTTTTTGTCGTTCAAGTGGGCAAACCACCGCGCCCAAAAAATTGATCGACAGTCAACACTAAAAACGGCTGGCAATGTGCCAGTTTTCCATAAACGTGGCTATCCTGTTTCTGTCGTTCAAGCGGGCAACCACCGCGCCCAACAAATTGATCGACAATCAGCACTAAAACCGCTAACAGTGTGCCAGTTTTTCGATAAACGTGGCTATCCTGTTTCTTTCGTGGAAGCGGGCCACCACCGCGCCTTACAAATTTATCGACATTCAGCACCACAAACGGCGCAGAAGGAAAATGCTCATCGCATTCCAGTCACTCACATTTTACCCTCACAACCACGTAGTTAAATCTATCATTCTTAAAAACTTTAAGTTACTTCAAAGCGATTCAAAGCCTTGTGCCATCTTTTCGCAACCTCCAATAAGTTCATTCAAACGCGAATGACCAACCTGAAGCTTTCAAATGCGCTCGCTCACGATACAAAACTTTTCCTTTCACTCACAACGTAGAGGAAATGTCGGAACCAAAGAGATCCATTAAGATCACGGATCACTTCACTTGCACCTCCGCTAATGTCATCTATTGCATAATTTGCATTTAAACCAGTCGCTAGACAATCTAGTCTACCTTACCATTCTAAGCAACATATGGTAGTTTGCAGCCTTCCCCTACATCTAGGCAGTTTGGAAAGCCGCAAAACTTTAGAACAAAAATTATGTTTCATATCGGCACTTTATCGGCAACTAGCGCTTTTCACTCAACTTATTTATTCTTGTTTTTCTTGTCACCATGTTCCCACCAACGCGTAGCACCATTTTCTGCATATAAACACAAACACAACCCGCAACTCCTCTAATCACTCTGACGAAGTGACGACGCGCTAACGCTCGAAACGTTAGCTTTTAAACTCTTTACGGTGGCCAATTTACGTTCTCAACTCAGTTGCTAATACTTAGTTTCACTGAAAGAAATTGTCAGTCAACCAACGGCTGAGCAAACGCGCTGACATTGCCGACACACCCAAACATCCAGCCATGTCTGTTACAGTGTTTTTCAAATCATGTGGTCTGTTTTCCACTCAGATGGTTTTGGAAGTACCGTAGATAACTGAACTGTCTCTTTCTATCAGCGATTTTAGGAGCAGCACTTCTATATGGTCTGACACCTGGCAAAATGCGCGGGGCACTGGGAGCGACCACAATCAGTAGCGACCTTAGTGCTAGCCAAGCCTTTGGACTGGAGCTCCTTCTCACGTTTGTGTTGGTGTTTACCATATTTGCCGCTACTGATCCGGGCAGGGAACTTCGAGGATACGACATACCGCTGTCCATAGGAGTGTGTGTGTTCATCTGTCACATGTGCGGGGTAGGTGTAGAAATATTTTAAATAAAACTTTTTTCTTTCCATTTTTACAATGGGTATGAGCTCGCCATGTGTCATAGCATTGCATAGCTGAGATTGTGCATAGCTCGCACGAAGATAGACTCCAAAAACGAAGTTGACAAAGCTCTTTTTGAGAGGAAGTGACTCAGATACCTCTTGTTGAAGGGGCTATCGAGTATTGCGTGACGTCACGTTCGTTTGTTTGAGCTTTAGAATCACGAGCGTACATACTTGAACGTGGAGGTTGTTGTGGAAGATCGTCATTTGAGGACGAAAGATTTGTATTCGGTGTTCTTTCCTTTATGAATTAAAGTCCTTTAAAACTTTGACTTTAAAATCGTTATTTGAAAGCAACGCTCATCGTTCGTTTAGGGCGGTAACTCATGCTTTTAGTACTTACTTGGGGTATTCAGAACGAACCTTGGTTTTATTTTTAGCCGTTGCAATTGCACGCAGATAAATCAAAAGACCCATTATCTTGTTTAAGGGGAAGTTCATTAAAAAAAAAAAAGAATCATGCTAGCATATTATTAAAATCATGGAAGCTATCACCATCGCCACAACTGTCGACACTGACCGGTTTCCGTTAAGGTTAACTCAACACTCCTCACTTCGAGAACGAAGCAATATGAGTAACGTTTGGTTACTTCGTGTTCTTTCTTAGATTCCTCTCACTGGCTGCAGCATGAACCCCGCCAGGTCTCTCGGTCCTGCCCTAATTAGAAACTTCTGGAAAGACCACTGGGTAAGAGAGGATGTCTGATCAGCTTATAATCAAAACTATAACAAAATTCTCGAATGTGATTGGTTATCACCAGCCCGATTTGCGCACTAATAGGACAGTGTACGCGTCATGCTTGTAATTGGACAGTGTAATAGAACAGCTAGAGGGACAGTTAACACGTCATGCCGGTGTAAGTGGACAGAACGCGTCATGTGCACGCGCTGTTGTCTCGCATTTCGCCAAGTTTATTGTTGTTGTAGTTTTTTTTAATGAAAACGTATCACCAATGTCTACATTCTTTCTCATATTTTGTCATATCTATGATTAATTGCTAACAGGACTTCGTATCGTCCATCAATCAATACTCGTGATTAACAAATCGGACTCCCGCTTCGCGATCGCCCGATTTTGATAAACACTCATATGATTACAGACCGAATTGGACTCCACTCGGTCCTACTACCATCATTAATCACATTAAATGTGAAGTCTCCTTAATAGTAGTCTTCCGGACAGCTAAGGTCAGCGAGTTTCACCCACAATCTTCCCGAGAGGGGTTTCGAGAAGCCAATGAACCCCTGCTTCCTATTACCAGTGAGATCAAAATAAGATTCCCCCCAGTAGACGATCTGCCATCACGTCTGGTTTGGGAGCACAAGTTAGTTGCTCATTTTCCTTACGGCAAGTCGATAAAACGAGGGAGAATATCGTGTGTTCCAAAACTACCTTCTACGAAGCTATGCTAATCCTGTCTAAATTCGTTCGGCCTCATTTAGCCCTACTGACTTTTGGGCCTCAGATTTGAAACAAATAGGTTAAGCTATTCGTAGTAAGGTAAGCACTGACCCAAACTCAACCGTCATGAAAAGTGATGCTAACCAGAACTGGTTCATCGAGTTTCCAACAATTGGGTACAGATGATTGTTTAGGGTGAAAAAAAGGTAAGACTTAAGGAAACTCCACTTGTTAGGAGCGAGGGGTGAGCTTCACAATTCACCAAAAGGAGATAGTGACAGGCCAAACTTCGAGCAAAAAAAAGGTGCAATTCTCAAGGGTCCATTTTGTGCGTTCAACTTAAAAGATACACTGTAAGTACGTTGAAGACAGATGCAGCTTCTAATTTTGTCAAACTTGCTTTTTTATTTTTTCTCCCCCTTTTTCAAGGTTTACTGGGTCGGTCCCGTACCAGGAGGAATTATAGCGGCATTCTTGTATGAATACGTCTTCTCCACAAGGAGTGCTGGAGTTTCTCCAGCTTAAATTTATTAGCTGTGAACCGTTTCGTCCAGGGTCCAAGACCGATAGCGGAGAAGACAAAGTATATCAGTTGCTCCTTTTTGTGACCATGTGTAAGGGTGTTTTGAACCCTGACTTATAGTTCTCCCTTCTTCATGAAATTAACTTTCGCGCAAAATACTGAAGTGTGATAAAAACCTTAATTGTCCATTCTCATGAGCAGTTTGCAGGGTAAAACATTAAAATTGGACAGAAGGGTAGTAAGTAAATCACCTCTAGAAGTCAAGTGTTACTTTGTTTATCAAAACTGGTGTGATAGTTTCTGACCAACAGAATAAACGGTTATAGTTTTTTTGTTATAGGTTATAGGTTTTATAATACGAGTCAATTCTGTACAACATCAGGACTGAATAATCCTTAATAAGTGATTTTCAAAGAATGTTTTGTGCTTAAGACTTAAGGATCATATTCAGATACTTAATGTCAAAGGAAAAACAAACACGGAGTTGTTTTTCTTCCATCAGAGCTCAAGTAACCCTCCTCAATACTACTTCCCTGTAAATGGGAATTTAAAGAAAAGAATCTAAAAGGCGTTCGAAGGATGCAAAAATAACCTGAAAACTGTTTTAGAGGCTCGGTAGTAAACAAGGCGATTGATAAGGAATAAGCAAGTCGAGTCGGTGGGAAATGTCACCTTCGTACTATGCAGTTCAAACGCATTCTGGATCCATGCATTAATGCACAGATCAATTCCAAGCTTCAACACCCCCCCTCCAGGACAACACACGGGCATCTGGCCGTTGTCCGTGCCCGTGAGGTGGGAAATTTTATCCATGCCTGAAGAAAAGGCCTTCAAGGTTTAGGTTTTAAAGCTTGGTCAATTTTCAATTTAAGCGCATTTTATGTTCATCCACCACAAACCACTAAATATCCTTTTCATGTAGTATATACACTATCCGCCACAAATCTTACCCTTAGAATGACAAAGAACTTTCTTCCTGGTAAACAAGAATTCCTTAGAGCATTTGTTTCAAGCAATTCCCATCAGTTTTCACCGAGCGATTATCGAGGCGAAGGAAAAAGTTTGTTTCTCTTTGCATCATAACAATCCGAAAACTGTTGGATACTCCATCCGAATCTAAGTAACCTTCTTCTCTTTTTATTGCTTCTTTAAAACACGGCCAGCACAAGTCACTTTCCTTCTTCTTCGAGTCGCTGTAATGATTCTTCCAATACACCCAAACAACCCTGGAGAGTTTTCAATTCTGCAGGGTTTAACCCTAAAGTCGTAAAAAAGAAGATTCATTATACTGATCTGAAGTTTTTCCTATTTTCGGTTGAACTCAGTTCCCAGTGATGGTTGAAATCACTGATATTTACATGCAGGGAACCAAAGCTGACGGAAAAATTCCAAGAAAGCAAAACTCGGATTTAATCTTTTGATTGGCTATCGAACTAATTACGTGTCGTATTTCTATTGGATCAAGTGCTATAAAATCAACGACAAGGAGCGCACTGTTTGCTCCGGCCAATCACGTACGGTGGAGCTGGTGTGAATGTCTTGCCTTGGTATTAAAGGGTTCGAGAGAACAAGTTAGAGGAAGGTAACATTTTCTTTCTGTAATAACTAGATTTTTGGTACTCTGTTCCAGGCGTTCAGTAAGCAAAACAAAGCTTGATAGTAAACGTCGCGATAGCAGCGGAGGAGGGAAAAACGAGGGAGGTTTGGGTTGGGTGGCGTAGGGAACACAACCCGGCCCAACTTCCATCGCTTTCGTTCTGCCGCTACTATGGCATATTTTCTACTCCGTCCCGTTTTACTGAATGAACGTCTGGATCAGGCTAAGTTTTAGGGACATCTAGAGTTTCTTATACACTAAAACTATCAAAAACCATAGGACCCTACCTTACATTCGAAATGTACTGGGTTTACCCTGTTTATTGCATCAGTAGTGTATCAGCAACGAAAGATATATTGTTTGGTGCGTTTCTTTCCCCCCCCCCCCCCCCCCCCCCCCCCCCCCCCCCCCTTCCCCCACACACACACACAACTTGTGTGGCGATATTAATGAGACGTTAGATAAACCTCCGCAAGAAAAAGACAAAACATACGCTGGTTAACCGATATTGTGAAGCTAAGGCCCTGAATGACGGCACACTTGCACATTTATACATTTAGGATGTCATTATTGTGCGGAAAATAATGAGCAGCAAAGAGGGAAGGGAATACCTCAGGCGTCAATATAAGCTCTTATGATACCTTTTCGTCGTTCTGGCAACTTATCTAAGAAGGCCTGCCTCCATCAACAGCATCTTACCTGTATCGTCTTTTTGTCTTGTAGATATTTTGTCTTTACTGTCATGGCATAATTTACCGTATGAGCTCTTGATTGTTCCTAAGTTTTGAATGAGCTAAAAAAAATCACCAAAAAAAAAGAAATTATGATTATCAGAACCATACTCGCAGTTTGATTGGTTCTTCCTTATGATCTACTGGTGGTCAGACCCATAGATGACACCTGCACCACTAAAAACATTTTGCTTTTTTTCTCATAAAACAGACATTTTTGTTTCCACTTTGACGTAGTTCTATACAGAAATACAACAAAGAAGACGTCAAAATGTAGTAAGAACCTCAGTGACACACTCGGCTGTTCTTCGTGCGCCACTCTTTTTTTCATGCCATATTTTGACGCCGTCTGTGATCTATTACTGAACAGACACGCGGCAAGATGGAATCTATCTATTTTCAGGCTCTGACCTTTTACCATAAGCCACGCAAGTATATCAAAAGTTTACCTATGTTAATCTCACCTCTGTGTATCTTGATAAAAGAGTATGAACTCTGCTGAATGCTGGACCAACCTCTGTGATTAAGGGAAATTACTGTATAAGTCAGTTAGACCACAAAAGACACAAAAGAAAAGTATAGAAGCCTGGATGCTTAGGGCTACCTTAAAAATCTGCATTGAAAAGGGGTTTGATAAACTATTATCAACAATGATCTGGGAAACTGTGCTTCCCCAGCAGTGAGGTGTTACTATCAACTAAGCTACATGTACAAAGCCGCATGTTAGGAGTGAGGCAAATGTTAGAGGGGTCTTAAAGGAATACGATCACAATTTTTTTTGTTTTGTTTTGTTTTGTTTGAGGGTTCAAATCATATTGGATCCAAATTTTTTTTTGCTGGCTGTTTAGCTTAGTTTAGTTTTGGTTCTGCAATACTCATTCAATAAAAGCTGATACCACTACCCTCAACAAACACTTCTGAATTAATAATCACAAGAAACCACCACAATGAATACTGCACTTGCTAAGAAGAGTTTGTATACCTGACAAGACAGGTGCTGGGCGTTTACACCATGGCTTCATCTCAGTCTCAAAGCAATGAAGAAATCCAGACACAACTTGAGCCATAGTTGTGAGTGACAGTGATAATGTCTTGCTCACTTTCTCAACTGTAACAGTATCAGCATCACACAATGGAGCCTGATGAGTAAAAATGCAAGTTCTCTCAAATTGACTCATCAATTTTTTAGCAAATTTTAAAATTTACTAGATTCTAAGAATTTAGTATTTGGCATTTCCTCTGAATCAAATTTAATTTGCAGCAGGTTGATCATTATACAAGAACTATAGATAAATTATTCCTAAGTTTGAGATGCATACATGTACAGTAAATTGCCAGTGTTAAAAGTCATTACCGGTAAGAAAACAGTACATAAAACTTGACGTACACTCTCTCTCAACTCATCCAGCTGTTTGCTCTGTTCTTCCAATTCACATGCCAGTTTTTCAGTAACTGATATCAACTGCTTCTCATCAGGTATTCTATTATTCATTACAAAAAAAAAAGAACCAACAACAAATATCTTTAAATACACAATGTGATATGCATCAAAGAAAGACTGAATAACCTTTTGGAATGGTTGCTTAAAATGGTCTTGAACAAAATGAATATTCATGATGGTTAATGATAACTTTGACATCTTAACAAAACGCTCTATAGAAATCGTGACCTCATTATCTGAATGTTGATAACAGGTGTATACATCACTCACAGCACACCCTGATGAGCAACAAATAATATGGCATGCAATTTCTAGGTTGCCCTAAGCCCTGTTATCAAGGAGAGGTTAGGTGCAACACCATTATTTAAAAAAAAGTGCATCATGTTTCCATCTGAAATGAACTCTCATTTTCATGTGAAGGAGCAATCGGTTTGCTTACTTTCATGGGAGAATCCATATGGCCTTCTACATGAACAAAGTGGGGTACATTTCCAAAGAAACTGTGGTGCTGCATCAGTGGGAGAGGTGGGTATTACAAGATAATATGGTCTAAAGTTGATGTTTCAAGTGTCAGAGCTTCAGAGAGTTCAACAGAAAGCTACATCGGAGATAAAGATTTCTTCATAGACAGTTTTGCTGCAAATACACGACCCCGATATTTCAAATAACACACGCTATGTTTATGTTACCTACTTTTTGTTCTCAAGTCCAGATGTTGTTTTCATCAAATCAGGAGGATAAAGCTGAACTTTTGACCTAAAGACATTCTGAAGGTCTTCTTGACGACATAAACCATCAAAAAAGTAGCAGTCACTTCTAAATTGCTCTTCTAAAGAAAAGTGAGTTCCAGACTGTAAACTAAGAAAAGAAGCGGTGACATACAATTTTTTTACTTAATTTTACGTGCATGTATCTCTAGGCAGAATTTCTTTTTTTAAAAAAATGAATTCAGTATTCAAATGGATGAAAAAACTTATTAATCATTTGTTGATAGGATAGAGCTCAGGAAGAGACTGGTGCCAAGGAGTGACTAAATTTTTTCGTTGACTGTTTACCTTGTACACAGCATAACTTCACTTTATGAAAAATTCTTCAGGTGCTGGGCACCACAGATTTCTGGAAGATGAGCCTTTAGCAGTCCAAAATTGTGCTAAGAGGACATCTCTGCTTAAAGATAATTATTACAGTAGTATAGATGGGCTTAATTGGGTTGTACTTTCACCCCAGGATCTCACTAGTAATTCTTCTTTCTATCTACATGTACCATTCCATTCTTCTGATCTTAGTTCACATAATATGGTATTGGATCAACCTAAAATTCCCTTATTGATATTTTTCTTTATTCTCATCACTTGTCTGATTGATATGGTATTGATATTGTGAGGTGAAATTCTCTCTTGGTCACTCATGGAAGTGCAGGGTTAATTTACACTCATTATTCTGTATAGAAAATTCATACCTGGCTGTTCTCACTGGGGTGGTAAAATGACTAATCCGCCCTGATGACTCAACAATACTAACAAGATCTAACAGGTTTTCCCAGAACACTGCTTGTTTGTTTTTAGATTTGTTACCCTGTATTGAACAGCAAGTAACAGAAGATCAAAATTCTAGTATTTCCAGGGGTCTAATAAACAACATCTATAATATTTATTTAGTCTCATAACAACTACAACCTTTCCCATTTTTCCATCTGCAAGTAATTTTCCAGAACACATAAAATTTCCTTTTTTGTTGTTGCTTACAGATCTAAAACCATGCACAACACTTTTAAATAATGTAGTCCCAGTCAGATATTTCCTAAAGGTTTGGATAACACCTTTGTTAGTGGAAAAAATTGAGGAAATTGAGGAAATTGAGGCCCTCACCTCTTCTCACACTGAAGCAACCCTTTGTTACTGACTGGTTACTTGTATCATTGCTAATTATGACTTGTGAAAATAAATGAGGAACTTTTTACCTGTACAAGGTCAATATCATCACTTTTACAGAGTCCTATAAGGTGACATGCAAACAGCAGCTCTACAAAGGAATAACAAATCACATGTTTGCTTTTTCAAATTAATCAATTTTATTAGATCAATAATGAAAATAATTCAGTTATCTCTTATTACCACCTGTAAAATGTATAAGATCTAACTCTTGTTTGTAGAGCAGGTACAATTTTGGTTGGCAATGCTTCATATTTTCTTGCTGAAAATTAAAGCTGCCATCTTTGATTTTCATAGCAGCAAAAGACTGGGAAGAGAGAGAAATTTGTACCGACAGGGTGAGTGATGGTCAAAAGAAAGGATAGGGGAGGGGTGGGTTATAGAAATCACACCTGCCCTTGATCATTGTACTTTTGGGAAACTCTGTTTGCATCTTTTCCCGCCCCTTTCTCACTATCCGTTCTAACTCAACATCAAACATGGCCAACTGCACAAATGATTGCAAGCTTGTAACTCTAACCTTTCCTACTACTTCTTTACTATTGCCAGTAAAAAGCATGAGTAGCGATGGCACTATGGCCAGTTTCTTTTCTATCTGAAACAAACATGCACTATCACAATCAACTAGATACATGTCTATGTTAAAAACACCTCAGTCACTGTACATGGATAAGACAACAATTAATTTAAATGTAGAGCTTTACTTACTTTGCATTCTGGAGTCATTTC